AAAGATATGCAGTGATTTTTAGGGTTATGGATAAGCATCACAGGAGGTTCTCATCTAAAGTAAAACTGTAAAAACTCGTAAAAAGCAGTTTTTCTGTGAACAATCAAGAGAGAAGCTATATTTGGGATGGGGTCACAGTGCAGGACATACATGCACTGGTTGTGACAGGTGGCTACAGTGAAAAACAAGTCGGTGGGAAGTTGCGGTCGCGAGCCAGGTTTTGCTGATGACTGGACTTCTTCTCTTTTGCTCAAACAAGGAGACGTTGGGTACTGGCTTCAATCCACCAGGAGATGGAATGTCAACTAAACCAACACACCACACAGGGAAGAAATGAGGAACAGAAGAGGAATTTCCCAGAAATGTCCTGACAAAAACAGAGCCTGTGCTGGAAAATTGCAAAACATACTTTTCGGCCAAATGAGGATTGAAGCAACAAAACACACTGGAATTGGCCATCTATGGGGGTGTCCAAGCCCTAGGAGAGAAACCAAAATATACCTATTATGGTAAGGTGGAAACGTATGGAGCTGTTATAGGCTAGACTAGCAGTGTGGAATGTATGCTATGTGTTTATGTTGAGAGGAACAAGCTATCTGCAATCAATCAACAGGCTTGGGATAGACTGCTCACAAAAACCAACACTCACTGTACTAACAGGCTTCTGATATAGTCATACATAAATCTGTAGATAATTATAGGGTTAATCTTTTGTTAAATTATACTAAAGAACTAGTCCTAAATGGCCTTGAAATAGTTTTTTTGAAGTTTATAATAAAAGCAGGATGTCAGTATCTGACACTTTTTATGTAACTTTACCATCTGATAAAAATGTACATACCGGAACTGGTAACATTCATGATAAGACAATATTGAGTTGACAGCTTTGATAACCCCTGCTACACAGGCAATACAGCAGAGTGAACACTTCTTTCAGCATGTATTACATTTTAATGAAACCTACTGCTGTGAGTTACCAATTGATAGCACAAATCTGCACTTGTTTTATCTCGCCTGGGTCATATAGACTGTTGTCAGCTAGGACCAGTATAGGCCAGCTCCTCTGCTCCAAGGCCAACCTGTCCCCAAGGAAATTTTACCACATGCACCCCCAGTTCTCAGGGTCTAGCCTGTACTTTAATACCCTGAAAACAGTCTGACATCCAGGCTAGTTTTCTCTGACAGAAGTAGTTCATACTGAAGGTCTGTGTGGGAAACACATTTCTGCCACAGGTTGGGGGTCAACTACATTATCTGGGTCGCAAATTCTCCCTCGTGATACCTTGATACTGCCTAGCCTTTGGAGGCATCCGCCTGTAATATCCTGGTCTTAGTAACAATATCTGCCGGAATCATACCAACTAATCAATGTGACTAAAATGATAGGCTTCTTGATTTAGCCAGGCTTAAGTAGGCTTACTTGAGGCATAATAAGGATGGCTGACTACAGTTTCATGCCAGTCCTGAAATTCTACCACCCTACCGGTAGCGCTTGTCTTTTCATTTACACGAGATAACCAAACATCAGTGCAACACTCTTTGACAGAAATGACAACTGTTGTGTTCAACAAAACTATTTAGATCCTACTATGTGACACAGGGGTATTTTCACAAGGATTCAATTTCAACCTTCCCTTGAAATGTTTACAGTGACAGACATTGTGACAGTTGACCCCACTGTCTGTGCCAAGCACCACCACTTCCCCACGTCTTGTCACCTCGCGCTAAACGCCTATGATACGAAAAGGAAGATACACCAACCCGACATGATGTTTATTGGTTAATTCCACATCGAGGAATGTCACACATGCTGGGGTCGCGTTTGTTCTGGGATTGCGGCATTTGGCCTGGCCTTCCGCCAGTGGCTGTCACAGACATTAAACCTTGAGCAGACAACATGTCCCTTGTATATACACATATCATCATACCTTAGGCTTAGGGACACACTGGACTACATGCTATCACTAAAAACCATTGCCGTATAACTCTTGAACCTTTATCTCTTTATCTGTTAAAGATTGAAGGGACAGGTATAGTTTGTTTTTCACACAAGCACAGAAGACTTGGGTCTCTATTTCTGGTTGAGGTCAGGCCAAATCAGACTGAAGAATTTATTTGCTTGCAATTAGAACGGGATTGTCACTGGGATGATAAATTATTTTATTTACACGCAGTGTCAAGAGGAGAAAATTTCAAACACTCTCTGAGTCTCTCTCTTTCGAAGGGGGAGGGGGGGAAGCAGTTGGACCAGTGCTCTGGTCACCTACAAGCGACATGGCCACATTTGCTCTGGTCTGTTGAGCAGGCAATTACAGGCAATGCCCCAGATGTCTGTTTACCTGTGCCCTTTGTTCCCCCACAGCTGTGTAAAAAACACAAACCACCTATCACAGGTGTTAATAGACACACTCTTTGTGACAAAGACTTTCTAAAAGCTGACGACATCATGACAGTTTTTACATGTGGCTTCCCACCTTGGAAAAGACATAATTGTAAAGTACGGATCAGTAGGTGGATGGAGTGTTTCAACAGCTGGGAGGCACATCTGGCTTTCTGGGAGAAGAAAGATTTGTGGGAATAACATTCTCCTGCATTCCTCCTAGTTCTCTCATTGAAAACCTATTATAGCATGTTCAAACACCATAGACTACTACAGTATATAGCCATATAGGTTACATGGCAACATGCTCTTTGTACAGCAATTTCATGTGAAAGAGTTACAAATTCTATTATACATTTGACAAGCTTGCTTTTTTTTGCATGTGTGTTGCATGGAATTTGGAATGATCAAATACAAGCAGTTAAACCTAACGTGCTAGATCACTGTGTGGCATTCAAGTACACATCAGCTATAGTAGACATGTATTCCTGATGAAAACTTCCGTTTTTGCATAGATTGCTAATCCAGTGATACTATCTGACAATTTTTTTTGTTTTGGCTGTGGCTGGCATCTTTCCTCTGCCAGTGTCAGAAACAGGTCAAGCCCAAATGAATCATCAGTTATCAGTGTTCTTATCCCTGACACTACACAGACTGTCTCCTGAATCATTCAGCACCCAAGGCTGCACAAACCTTGTTAGTAATGTAGGAATTAGGAGATAGGGTTCAGAGCGTTTTATGAAGAGGTACTGTACTTTTAGTCCTTGGCTGCAAAAGGTACATTGTTCTGAACATGTGTATGCTCTCAAAGTCATGGGTCAAGTGAAATAAACTGACCCAGCCTTTCTAAAAAGAATACTGCTTATCATATTTTGATATTAGGAAAAAATAGAAACACACATATAACAAATGTCATTGAGTAAATCATATAATTCATGCAAGATGTCCAACTTATTCCACAAGGACTTGTATTAAAAATTTATCATGTACAACTTACAAGACAAAGCCTCTACCTGGATAGCATGCAGCTCCTATTGTGTATTGGACCTCAACAATACCTGACACATGGCTTCCTTCTTATATTGACTTGTCTTTATTTGTTTCACAGTGTTTAACAACAGGGAACCTGTCATCAACACTGAAACCAAGAAGCCCAGAACAATACAAACTAATGAATAACTCATCAAATTCAAACAATACACAATTTACTACAGTACTGTTGTCTTTTTTTCTGTAGGAAATTTAGATTAGTTTTCCTTCTTTAATCTTAGTATTTGAAGTTTGAAGTACTTAGTATGCTATGGTGCCAATGCATGTTTAAACTTGTTATCAATCAATATGTGTATTACTAATAGTGAATATGAATAAGTCCCTTTCTTCAGCTTATGTTGATAATGGAAAGCTTTTGCAGCTTAGTTTAATTCCCTTTGGACACCAAGAGCATAGACCTGCCTTGAAAATATTGTTTTAGGCTTTGTAGAAGAAGTTATAGCAATCCCACTTGTTGTGTAAGTTCCTCATTCTTTCAACATGATTGTGTTTTTGTCTGCCAAAGAAAAATTCTGGGAAACTTGATATTCCTCTTTCTGTTTTGATGATTCAAAGTATTTCCTCTTTCTGATTCTTGGAAAAGAGCAGGAATATCTGTTTTCCAGGAGTTTAAGTATTCTGTCAACAAAGAATTGTTCTTGTGGTAACATCAGTTGTGTTATTTTGAATTAGGTAACGTTAGATATTATTTTAAACAGAGCATAAACCTTTGGGGTCTAATGTAATTTACCTAATATTATAGTGGAATACTTAGAGTGGGTACCCCGAGCAAAAAAGGGTGTTTTAAACAGCTTAAAACATTGTAATTTGGAAACACGTTAGTTAAGTTAGTCTTTTACCATGATTAACGGATACGCCCCTGCCCATTGTATACAAACACGTCTCTTTGGCTGTGTAAACATCTAACTCACAAGTGGAGGGCACTGTTACAAGGCTACTTATCTTTCCCCCACACTCCACTGTAGTTTTCTGATGTTACTAAGTGATTGTTTATGAGAATTCTTGAGAAGTTTTCGATTCTGGTTGAGCATCTTAAGTTTCAGATCCCATTGGAAGCCCCCCTCCCCTTTAAAAGTATTTTGCGAGGACACAAAGAGTCTTTCATCAGAATCTAATGTCCAAACAACGCTAATCAGGAAATGTAGACTTAGTGTCTCTTTGATCTCTCTACCTGTGCTTGAGGGGAGGTATGGGGAGGGGTGGCCGCGTGTGCTGTAGAGCTTCCTGTGGAGAGAACCTTGGGGTTTTCTGGATATAAAACACGGGGGAACCCACACAGGCCTGGCCACAAGAAACTTCCGCAACAAGAAAAGAAAAAGGAAACAAGCGAGACTTTCAGTCTGCCACCGTTCCAAAATAAGAAAGCGAGACCCCGAAGGGGATATCCAGGGTAAGTAAAGTGATCTTAGGGGAAACAGAAAATCTAGATCGGTTTCAACAACAACATGGAATTCGGGAAAACCCAGCGGTATGTGTTCAGGGGCATTACGATCATGTCGACCGAGTCTACAAAGTGACAACCGGGGTAACACATAGGGGACAGTGCCCCAGCGCGAGTGTTCGGACTTACCATGCTTGTCGCTGCCTTTCCCCGACATTTTGCGTCCCATCAAGCGTCCGATCGAAGTTATCTCGGTATGAATAGGCTCATAGCTGTCCCAGACGTCCGTCACAAATGAGCTACCGCTGTCTAAACAAGCCCGAAAGTCGTGTGTACGTCGCCCGAGCCCCTGTGATTGCCGATTTCCGCCTATTTTGCCCAGGCCGGAAATGATCTGTGGAATGGGATGACGTACTTCCGGGTCAAGATAGAAATCAACACACGGTAATACTACTTATTAGCGTCATCTAGCGACAGAAAGAAATATTACAGACAGGGTTACGTCGACCGTCGCTAGCTTTACCTCAGCCAAAATTCTAACATAGTAGAACTGAATGAATTGGAACGTGAACAGACAAACAAACAAACAAACAAACAAACAACTTATGCAATTAAATCAGGTTTACCAATACCTTCAAATTAAAAAAAATCAGCCAAATGCCTACCACTGGCTCAAAACTAATATTACAAATCTGTTGACAAGGCATTTTTTTAAATTGCAAAGTTATTGTAACGTTACTTGAAAGCATGATTTGTGTTTATGGAGGACTACTAAAACCCTAAAACTGTTACATGTTGTTGGCAAGGTTTTGGCAAGGATGATTTTGCGTCGGGAAAGTGACGTGACGGGATAATTTTACAAGACGAAAGGAAAACTTTACTGTCCAAGAGAAACTGAAGAAAGTGCACCCAGTTGCCATTCCGATGGACACTTTTTGGTGGAAGACATTTTGGCATTTCCAACTTTATCAATATTGGGAATACCAACATGTTGCAAGCAAACTTGCACATTTCCCGCCATTTAAAGGGCTACCCAGAATCCACTAGGCGGGACAGAAACATGGCGTCTGCAGGGAATCGGATCGCGGAGCTGTGTGAGGAGTTCTGGCAGTGGCGGATGCGGGAGAGCCCGGAGTTCGCCACCTCCACAGGCTGCCACACGTACGACCACCTGCTGGACTCACACAAGCCGCAGGCGTACGCAAAACGCATGGTAAAGTCGTAAAGAACTTCGTTTTCCTACGGCCTATATCCGGCCATATGTTTTGCGGTTTATAATATATGCGGCAGCAACAACTTTCACTTCCGTTATATGAACCATTCATAATTTCCATGAACGCAACAACTAGACATTGCACTTGTTGAAAATTGTAGCATATCACATTTTATACCAGGGTGTACAGTGTGTAGGTTGTTTTACTCCACACTGACATGGATTTCATGGATTCTGGCTTGCAGAGCTGAGGTACGTGTGGGGTCAGACGTGGGTTAGGGGGCGTGGCATGTTTCCTCAGGTGTGACATGACGCAACTCAAAATGCAAGGAAATTCTACTGCAGTCGGTTTTTTACAAGCTCAAATTCTGTTCAACAGCTAAACTAGAATATTACAGTAATTGTGAAAAAATGTGTAAATATGTGAAGATGAAAAGGTTTTGCATTTGATCCAGAATAATCTTGAATATTTTGTATCTGTATAAAACAGTGAATCTTAGATCTTTAAATCTACAATTCTAGTACTAATTATAGATCTATAAATGACATATCTAGGTAAGGGAAACATAATTTGTAAATGTTATTTTAAAGCATAGCTTTTTGTACATTTAATGTACATGTACTATGAAAGCTGGCCAAGGCTCCTGACCTTACCTGAAGTGTGGTACAACTTGTGACAGGTGTTCTGTGAGAAGTTCCTGACAACAGTGCAGGACTGTGATGACAGCGGTGCGACTGCTGAGGAGAAGCTGAGTCTGAGGCTGCTGAGGACAGAGATACAGACTTACCTGGACGGTATCAGGTTCAGCCCGTAAGTGACTTCTGCCTTACTTCATGGGAGAGATTTTCATGTCTTATTTGACCCTCGAGTTGCGGGATATTGCATTTCAGAGAGTTGAGAAGTAAAAAATTTCGGGGGCAATCTGCCCATGATTACTTCTAAAAAATCTATTCACCTTTGCTCTGGATGCCAAAAAATGATAGGACAGAAAAAAATGGTGCTGACAAGACCCTGTACCAGGGTGTACAACACATTTCTTCTTTGTCATTAAGGCAACCATAGGCTGTCGGTATGTCATGTAATCAGGCAAAGAGATGAAATGGAGCTCTGAGAATGGAAACCTCTACATTCTAAATGCTTACAGTTTCTAATATGGAAACTCCACAGCCATCTCTACCCCATCAACACTATGGAGGGTTCGCATGTGGAGTTTGAGCGACTGATCTCCTTTATGAAGTTCAACAACAAACAGGACTATGACATGTACTTCTCCAGGCTCAAGGCATTCCCAACTCAGGTCAGTCAGGATATATATGATTTATGATATTTATGGTATATCTATGATTTATGATATATCATAAATGAAACCGATTAGTGAAAGAGTGCAACAGTGTACCTTTCTGCTGCACTATTACAAAGAGAATGTGCTATAGAGTGCAAGTTATGAATAATCAAAAGATTAATCTCTTATCATTCCAGGCAACAGAGATGATCAACCTGATGAAACAAGGCATTGCAGAGGGAAGAACTTATCATCAGTTCAGCATGGTAAAGTACTTGCCCAGGGAATTACTAGTATCCCAACATCTACTGTCTTGAATAGAAGAAAGTAGTCTTTTGTGAAATACATGTGTATCTTCATTTTTTTTTCATTTATCGTCTTCTTTGAAGAAGTGTCTGACTTCTTGATATGTATAGAATCAGTGTGTCTCCACAGATTGGTGTGTGTGATGCGATACAAGACCTCATCTCCATGAAACCAGAGGACTGTGGTATCTACCAGCCACTCAAGAAAGTTCCAGAGTCCTTTGGGGCAGAAACAATGTATGTTTGGCTGCAATTCTGTTTGTAAAAAGGATTGTCTTTAAAACAGGATAATGTTGATTAGATTTCCTTCTCATACATACCTAAGGTATTAACTCAAATATTAGTATATTACTTATTTTGTACAGTCTATGACAAAAAAGAAAACACAAGGATTTGTTTTGCCATTTTCACAGTGCCAAACTGCAGGCTGAGGGTAGAGCCTTGATAGCAGACCAGGTGTTTCCGGCATTCCAGAAGATCAAAGACTTTGTGGAGCAGGTACCTGTAGTATATCAATTTAAGCTATCTTCAACTTTGTAGCACCTTCCTTTTGATAGCTAGGGCCTTTTCTCTTGACACATCGTGTTTTGCCTCCTCCAGGAGTACATGCTAGCCTGCCGTCCCTCCATAGGCTGCTCCTCCCTGCCAGATGGTACGGCCCATTACGAGGCTGCGCTGAGGTTCCACATCACATGTGACATGACGCCGCAGCAAGTGCATGAGACTGGTCTGCAGGAGGTGGCAAGGATCAGGGCAGAGATGCAGAAGGTACATGAAGGGTCAGTTACTGTAGTTAGCAAGCCTTACCATAGACCTCCAACTGTCTTATGGTTAGGGTTGTTGACTTGGGATCTAAAGACTCTGTCTTTTAAACTCTAAAAATTAAAAAGGTAAAGGTAACTTCCATCATCTTTTTGAGGCTGTAGGGGCAGTGGGTTGTTTATCTATTGTGTCTAGGGCACGGTATTGGAAGGTGGTGGCCACTCCTCTCCTTCCAAGTAAAGTTCCATCCTGGTGTGAATTGACCAAATCTTACAGTTTGGTCTTTCTCAGCTTTTACCTACTGTACAAAACAGATGTGTTATGCCTGTTAACAAACCAAATAACCATTCAACTTAGTCCTGCCTTAGTAGGGAGAAATAATACTAGTGTAAAAGCAGCATGGGTATTGTAGAAGTAAGGAATAGATGTTAAGATGTTTCTGTTGTCTGCAGGTGCTGGAACAGGTGGGATTTTCAGGAGAGTTTAAAGACTTCTTGGACCACCTTCGCAAAGATGACAGCTTCTACTACACATCAGAGGTAGGGGGAAAACTGGACTTCATGTCCACTTTACAAATATTACAAACTTGCAGGGCAGAACGTTCTTCAGTCATGTTTTAAGTAGATGGTAGACTTAATCTATGATCACTTTCACCGAAAAAATTCATTGATTCTACAGGAAGAACTACTGGATGGCTTTAAGGATATAGTGAGCAGCAAAATCCGTCCAAGACTTTCACAGCTCTTCAATGACATTCCAGACAATGAGCTCAGGTATGTACATACTTTCCACATGTAAGTTATTTGATAAATCCTAAGTAGACTGACCCTGACTGCATATCATGATTAGCAGTTAAACCCATTTTCTCTCCATGGTAACTCTACTCAGTACCCTTAGTCATTCTGGGACTAAACACCATCCAAACATAGACGATTGCTTCTGGTCTTGGTACTGAAGACATCCACACACAGGCAAGCACACCTGTCCTTGGTGCTAAACACCATCCATATATAGACGACTGCACCTGTCCTTGGTGCTGAACTACCATCCGCACACAGGCAAACACACCTGTCCTTGGTGCTGAACACCATCCATACACATTGGCAAGCATACCTGTTCTTGTTGCTGAACTACCATCCACACATAGGCAAACACATCTATCCTTGGTGCTGAATACCATCCACACATAGGCAAACACATCTGTCCTTGGTGCTGAACTACCATCCGCACACAGGCAAACACACCTGTCCTTGGTGCTGAACGCCATCCACACACAGGCAAACAGACCTGTCCTTGGTGCTGAACACCATCCACACACAAACAGACCTGTCCTTGGTGCTGAACTCACGTACAGTACTTATTGAGCAATCCAAGTACCAAGCTAGTGTAGCCACCGAGAGAATGACTGTACATCAATGAGTTTTTGGTCTCACATGCTGATGTTTTGACTGATGAAACTTTGTAATCTTCTGTACATTCTCATGATTAAGCAAGCATTGTAGGGACATTAATGTTGGTTTCCTGTTCCAGTGTGATCCCTGCCCCACCCAGCATGGCTAACAGTCCTGCAGCATTCTACCTGGCACCTAGTGATGATGGCAGTCGTCCAGGGATCTTCTATGTCAACTGTTCAGATGTCAGAAGCAAGTAAGGGCTGTGATAGATGAAAGTATTGCTCTCTCAAGTATATACCATATTTTGCTTATGATAGTCTTCCCACTGTTGTTCCAAAATGTCTAATTGAAATTAAGCATTCTTATCTTAATATATCTATCTGGAAATTCTTTGTTGACAGTAACTTCCACACCTGTACCCTTTACCGTTCTAACCTTTATTCTTCTTGTAGTCCCAAGTACGAGATGATGACACTGAGCCTCCATGAGGGGGAACCAGGGCATCACCTACAGGTATATTAAGGCTACGTTTGGTTTCGGTATATGAACAACAATTGTCTATTACTGAGTGCAGCATCTTTTAAGTTGACATGTTGACCAAACTTATGTCTTTTGATGCAGGCTTGCTACTCCCTGAACCAGAGGAACCTGCCCAGCTTCAGGCGTTTCTTTGAAGACCGGCGGTACTATGAGGCTCCAGGCAGGTTTGCCATGTACACTGCATTCATGGAGGTGAGAAGATCACACTACACTAGAACTAAAACACTGCCTTCTGCACATAATCCTCCATCCTTTCTTGTGTACCTCAGTCTGCGCAGTTTGCATGGTTATTCTTTGGGACTGATTAGGGTTTGTTGCTTCTGCCAGAACATTCTCTGCCTAGCTCTTGTACTTAACATTCAATCCAAAACAAATATCTTATAAAAGGTGATTATAATGACGTGCTCCTGTTTTGCTTCTTAGGGCTGGGGACTTTACTGTGAATACCTTGGAAAGGAGATGGGACTTTATGAGGACCCATACTCTCTGTAAGTGATTTCTATACCACAGCTATCACTTCAAATCCAGTTTTACAGCAAGTAAATAATAGACATTAAAAATTTTGATATGTTAGGATTGTTTGCATAGTTTCCATCATGTATAAGATTTGAGAATTGTGTATACAGTCTTTTTTGTGTATTCTTAATAAGCAGACATTAAAACTGCAGTATTTCTTGTCTAACATGTGCTACATGAAGGTTTGGCCACCTGTCATTTGAGATCATGAGAGCCTGTAGACTGGTTGTGGACACAGGCATGCATGTCATGGGGTAAGATATGGTAATGTTGATATTTTGTGAACAAAATGTTTATCATGACGGAAATATGCTTAGAAGCATATAAAGGAGGCTCAGAGTAGGTCAAATGTTCATTATCCGAGACAAATAGTAGAGTTACATTAAGAATGGGGACTACGCAGTATATTGTAGTGGGTTTATTCCTCGAGCTAATTTATATCTAACACAAAGCAGTCATGCTTCAGTAAGACATCTGGAACTCTATAGTTTCCATTTAGAACTTTTATTCAGCCTTTCAAAATAGAGCAGATATGAACAATGTTGCTCACACCTTTCAGCTGGTCCAAGGAGCAGGCTGTTCAGTATATGAAGGAAAATTCTGCTGTATCTCCAAAACACATCGAGATTGAAGTCAACAGGTACATCACATGGCCTGGACAGGTGGGTGTTTCAGTCACTTGTACTGTATTGTGCAGATTCTTTCAGTTATGTTGATTTTTTATTGACCAAAGTTTACAAATAATATATTTTCTTTTTCCCTTCCCGATTGCAAGGCATGTGCCTACAAGATTGGGATGATGAAGATCAATGAGCTGCGAGAAAAGGCAAAAACAGAACTAGGTAAGTACTATTAACCACTTACTTCTGTGTATTTTACTCCTTTGCTCAGTTCCGTTTCCTTCTATTTTATATTTGAGATTTACTCTTTTGCTTAATATTTTGCACTTTCTACACACCCATTACTATGTAGGTGTTTCAGCTTTCATTTGCTGTTGCTTTACATAATATATAAATATATATATATATATATATGTAATATATATATATTTCCCAGGTAATCAGTAGATCATGTATTTCTCAGGTTCCAAGTTTGATGTACATGACTTCCATGCTGCTCTGCTGGGCTGTGGGTCTGTTCCTCTCAACATCCTGGAGGAGGTGGTTGATCAGTACATACAGGACACCAAGCAGAAATAAATATTCAATCTGTTAGAATAGATGGCATACAATTGGTTCTTTTATCTCCAGGGGTATCTATTTTCATGTATTCATAGCAAATTTTATCAAAACCATAGGGGTTTTACTTTAAGCAGACAGATCTGTAACATATTTTGTGGAAAACTCATGATTTGAATTGTTAAACTTCAGTCAAATCTGTCAGTCTTCCCATATCATTTGTGTTTATTTAGAAAAGTTTGTGAATTGGTATGGATTTTATAAAATTTGTATGAATGCTTAGGCACCCCTAATCCCTTCTTGCAACCCCAATACAACAGGAACTGTTTCAGTACACGTATGTCATGAGAAATCCTGCAAACATCAAGTTACGACAATCATGTGAAGGTTTCACCTCTCCTACATATTAGGACATGAAACCTGTAACCATTCATTAAGCACTTTGTAAAAGTTACCAAGCCTGTATTGTCTACCTGCTGTACATGTATAATCAAATTGCATCTTTGCACAATTTCAAGCAATTGACTGTACATTGACTTAAGAAAAAACACAACTATGTGGAAATAATGTTTAATTAATTCAACAAACATGAAATGAAAAGTGTGATTGATATATACAACGTTCATACTCTAAAGCTAGCTAATATGTTATACTTAAGGTATGTGTGGTAGTATAAATTGTTGTTGCATTGCTAGGTATATTACAGTAGGATACTGGCTCATTAAGTCAAAATTATCAAGAACAGAACTTTTTCAGATTGTTGCTGTAATAGGTGCAATGATAAATGAAAAGCATTGTCCTATTAAGTCAAAGAATGGAAGAAATACCTCTTATAAGCTCTTTATCATAATAATGTTAACTACAATAATGAGTCCAGAGCAGTACAAGTTACTGCCTACTGTTTTGTTTATGCAAAGAGCTTTTATCTAGGAAATACAAAATTATTAAAATGACCTTTGAAGCTAGCCTGACTACATGCTTCTAGCAGGCCCTCTACTGTTCAGGCCCAATCAGCCACTGACAAACAGCTCCAAAGGCTAAACTATCTCACAGAAAAACTGCTATAAAATACATATGTGCACATATTCATTTTTAATACATGTATATTAAGGTTAATGCTCTTCATTCAAAATCTAAAATATTAGTGTACGCTTCATATTCTTCCTAAATGTGACATACAAATAATACATCAATGCGTTGATCTTGAATCGTGTATATAGACACTGACTGAATCTCACATACTCAGCTACTCCTTTAAAAAACATGAGAATGTGTTGCAACATTTCAAAATACAAACCAAAGAAACAGTACATGATACATGTACAACTGTGTAAAACTCTTTTCTGACAACAACAACTGAGTCATTTGGAGTGGAAATGTTCAATGTAGTATTCCACCAGCAGAGGTTATGCCTGCTACGTTCTCAAAAGAAATACTGACTGTCCAGTGACAAAAACATACATCATATTGCAGCCAATCATCTTTGAGGTGGCTTTGTTGTTTGTAAGAAAGTCCTATTATCTGTATGACAATGACAGAGTGTATCCTATGATGTTGCGACGTCCTGTGCGGGGGTGGGGGGTGTGGCCATCTGGGGCAGGAACATGGATTTCAGGTTGCTGGACAAGTTAGCGATCTCTTGGTCCTCCATTTCATACTGACGGATAGCATTTGCAAATTTAACCGCTCCTGAGAAAAAAATTACACAAATTACTGTTGTAGTCAAGTCATCTTGTAGCCTGGTTACCAAACCTATTATTATAGCTCCTGAGTCATTCATAGCCTCCCATTTCACAATTGAAACTAAAGATTGGAATTAAAGATGGATTAATAACCCAGCAACATGTTTTCATACCCTAGTTACTCTGGAATACTGGATACATGTTTTATATGCTGCACTCTGTGAACAAATAACAATGGTAACTTTGTAAAGGTATGGAATTTCTCGTCACAAAAGCCTTTCCCCAGATATCAATGCATCTATCGTCAAATGTATCTATGGTCAGATTATTTGTACATGGCAACTTTGGATGGGTGTATATTTTAAATGCTTATAAAAATGTAATATGGGAATTGCCAAAGGTCAGTTACACGGACCAAAGCCATAAATCAAATATGCAGCATCTCCCCTATAATGTTCTTGATCACAGCAAGGAGGTAATAGGCAGCCTTTTTTACTAGTAACCTCCTAGATCAAAGTAAAAGCTAGCCTGAGTGTCAGCCTTTATCTTTAGCTGCTCCCCACGATCTGCTTTTGGCTGGTAGCGGATCGGGGGGAGCGGATGAAAGCTAAAAAGACTGACACTCAGGCTAGAGTAAAACATCCTGGAGTCTACCGTGGCCGACAAGGACACACCTGCGTCGTCTGCGCGCACACCTGCGTCGCCTGCGCGTATACCTGCGTCATCTCTGCAAAGAGCTTCCCCATCTGCGCACGAATACCTGCGTCGTGTCTGCCAAGAGCTTCCTCATGCCTGCACAGAAAGAGCTTCCTCGTCTGCGCACGAATACCTGCGTCGTGCCTGCCAAGAGCTTCCTCACGCCTGCACAGAAAGAGATTCCTCGGCGACCTCGCAGCGCGCAACGAAAGCTCGCTGCACGGAAGAATACGTGTCACCCCTGCCTTGTTGAAGAATGGACGGTCCCCTATTATAGGTCAAGGGTCACACCACCTAAAACAATTTGATTCCCGTCTTATTTCTGGGGTTTTGTTGTGTCTGTCCCATACGTAATAAAATCACTTTTATTTTTATTCATTCATAAAAAATACCCTATCAACGTGTTTAAAATCATGAGGGAGCAGAATCAGTTTAATGGCGAGGGAGCGGAGTGACCAACGCAAAGCCTTTGAGAATTTGACTCGGGTTTAAATGGGACATTCTGAGGCTACTTGAGGGGGGAAATGTGTTAGCAGGCACGATTCCCCAGTGCATGTTGGATTGTTGGGGTGGCAATAGGTTGATAGGGAACACTATATTGGGTGTACCATTCCTATAGAGGTACCGGTCTTTGCCCTTGCATCTTTACTCCCTTGCACTATTTATCAATTGCAGTATAATAGAATTGTTCATGATTACTTTAGTTTAGTAAACACGTCACTATTGCAATAAATGATTTTAAACACGTTGAATAAAAATAAAAGTGATTTTATTACGGGACAGACACAACAAAATCCCAGAAAAAGACGGGAATAAAATTGTTTTAGGTGGTGTGACCCTTGACCTATAATAGGGGACCGTCCATTCTTCAACAAGGCAGGGGTGACACGTATTCTTCCGTGCAGCGAGCTTTCGTTGCGCGCAGCGAGGTCGCCGAGGAATCTCTTTCTGTGCACGCGCGAGGAAGCTCTTGGCAGACACGACGCAGGTATTCGTGCGCAGACGAGGAAGCTCTTTGCAGAGATGACGCAGGTATACGCAGTCGACGCAGGTGTGCGCGCAGGCGACGCAGGTGTGTCCTTGTCGGCCACGGTAGGAGTCTTCTCACCATCTCCGTCTGCGGAGAAGCCGTACTTCTGTATGACCTCCTGCTGGATCTGTGTCGCCACGGGAAACACGATCTGCATCATCTTCATCATGTCGTTCCCCGCCTGGTCCCGCGCCTCTTCCATACGCGCCATGTTCTCGGGAACCGTGAAGGCATTGATGACATCCTTCAGCGCTTCTAGAAGTAGGATAATATAGCAGAATTTAGCCTGGGTGCCAGACCCCGCATGATGTGATACTCTTGGGAGAGATTTGGTCGAAGGATCAGTGAATTTTCTTTCTCTATTCTAAGCACAAGGTCTGGCACCCAGGCTAAGCAGAACTACACTTAAAAGACATTTCTGAGCCAGCACACACATAGATAGACATAGGCAATACACACAGACAGACACAAGAAATACACACCAACACAATAAACAAAAGAGATACACAAACATAAATACACACATACACACAAATATACACAAACAATACACACAAGACCACACAATACACACACAATACACATACACACAATACACACACGCCACACAGAAAATAATTTCTATAAAAAAACGCACACACACAGAGAGATACACAGAGAAACAGTTACAGATAGACAGAGGGAAACAGAGGGTCGGGGTGAACTTCAAGGGAGTTTCCAAGAAGATAATGATCAAATTTAATGCTTGAATTATACTTGTATTCCTTACCTCTCGCCTTTTCTAACGTTAGTACCGACTCGTTCGTTGAGCTGGCCATCTGAACAACAAGTCCAAGTCAAATCCGACCGTTTCGTTTCACAACAGAAGACAGGAGAGCGTCTGACAGCTGTGGATCTTTCTCCTCACACAGTTCAGACAGCTACTTCCGGTTTGATGGAATCTTTGTGATGGTTCCTGTCCTTAGGAGAAATTTTTACTGCCTAAAACAAATTATCTCTCCATACATCTAATATTACAGTAAAGGTTTCATAAAACTGTTTACACTTGCTAGGTATTGTGGAAAGAAAAATCATAGCTGTTTATTTATTTTATAAGAGCACTACATGAAAAGAATCTGCGAAGTTGAATCAGGCAAATATTTGTCGACAGTGGCCACCTAAATAAGCGATCCCATCGTGCAGTGCTTCTAAGATGGCGCCTTACTCAAGATTTTAAATGTGCCAAAGTTTTATTTTTATCGAAAATTACTGCTGTCGGGTCGGATAAAATATCTGTAGTCGTCATGGATGAAGAAACGTTGGTGGCCTCGATCCAGAATTATAAGGAACAGGTAAGAGTTTTCTTCTCTTTACGTCAGTTTCGGTAAGATAATCTTATTTTGTGTCGTCTGGGGGAGGGGGGCAGACGACGATATCGTTTCCGTATGAAAAAGTATCTAACTTATGGCTCCATTGATTCCAGTGTTTTGACAGAAGAAAGACAGTGACCTAGCACGCCCATAATTTATTCTCCTCCACGTGCACGCCATTACACACCTAAAATCCTGAACTTTGCGGCCATTAGGGTTGCAGAGATTAGAAATATATTTTAACGTGATTGTCAAGTTGACACAAATTTATTTTAGTAAGATACAGATGCCCCTTAACAAGGAGGTTTAGATTAAGCTCTTAAGATTATGTTAACTAAAATATTTTTAATACTAGAAATGAACATCAGCGCAACCTTGTCAATTTCATATATTTTATCAGGTATTTATTTACTTGCTGTCCTTTGCCTGAATTTCACCTCCTTCGATTGTGTGGCCATCAACATGATAAATAGTAAACAATCTGTTATGAAGGACTGTTCAGTGTGACCTAACCTTACCGTCATTATTATGACAGCTGTCCCAAGTGAAGGCTGCCCTGTCTGGAGGTACAGAGGGAATGGAGGAGCTGGTACAGCTGAAACATGACCTGGAGGAACTCATCACACTGTCAGAGGGTAGGCAGGACTTCCCTATTCTCTATAGTTTTGCACGTAATAGAAATACCATTAAAATTTAAAGCATACTGAAAAATTTTAATTTTGAGACAAGACTGTCCATTATGGTGGTTGTTTTTTTGCCTTAAGATTACATTGTAAACGTGCAATTTTGCAAGTCTCTCATCTGACAGACGACAGGAAGCTAAACAGTTGTGGTCTTTCATGAGTTTCTTTGAACAGTCTTCGACAACTGTTTTCCATTTTCTGATGTTTTCCAAATTTGTATCCACCACTTCTAGAGAGTTTACTGTCCATCAAGAAGAGTAAGCTGTTGGGAATGCTGGAGTCTTCAGACACGGCTGGTGCAGCTGGGAGCAGCTCTGATCCTCCAGCAACTGAGAACACACAGGACTCGACATGTATGGATGACGAGTTTGCAGCATTTCAGGTGTGTGTAAGAAGAGTTAGTTAGGATGGTTGATATAAAACTATCAGAAATGTGCCTACTATTCCATGCACTCCAAGCTGCTATCAGTCACTTGGAGAAACTAATATACTATGTAAGAAACTGGCATAGCAATTTAGCACTTTTCACTCGCGACCTCAAAACCTACAAAAATATCATAACAAGTAGCACCTCATTCTAAATGGAAACAAACAAACAAACCTGCCGATAATTCCAGTTGTGGGGCTTGGCAGTATTGAAGAAGAAGAAAAAGAAGAATAGACTTTCTTTTGAAATAACATACAATGCCAACACTGAAGGAGGGTGGGAAACCTAAATTTTCATGCTAAAATCTTTTTAGAAAGCAATATCAGGAGAGGCTGGGCCTTCTGGATCAGGAGAATCTCCATCCCAGGCAGCAGCACTCTGTGGAGATGATTCCAGTTCCTCTGATGATGATGAGGACAACCCTGACACTGATATTACTGGGATGAAGTGCTGTGCTCCCTTCACGACGGACTGGGGCGTCCTACAGTACCACAATGCCATCATTCTTGGGGCAGAGCCTTCCAGTCAGGAGGTAGACACCCCAAGAGTAAGTAACAACAGTAAGGAAGTATCCTTCAATCAACCTCAATATGCCTTTTGGCACCAAATTTGTATTGGTTAGCAGGTAAGGGAGAAGGTTTAACTAATTCAACCCCCAATTTAGCCCAAGAACATGCAAAATGCTGGTACAAGTTATATAGCAACAGTTAGTTGTTAAACACTGGTAACAAGTTTTGCTATTATAACAGAAAACAAGTGCCTCTGCCAACTTCTCAGTGCAGTGGATGGAAAGCACAAGTATTAGTGGAAACACTATTCATTCATTATCTCCTTATTTTCTCCAGGTGAGAGTGATTTTCTGTAACCCGATAACCAACAGCATGCTGCCATGCTCGTACTTTCTGGAGGGAAAATGTAGATTTTCTGAGGAAGACTGCAGGTGAGAGCACACTCTCCCAGTGCATATACATTTATAATGATCAAAGTTCCCATGTGTTATGTTCCAAAGTATCCCAGTGTCACCAAAATGTTGGACGTTGCTTGTGGAATAAAAAAACTTACACAGTCCCTTACCAATCTGTTGAAATTACATGTAGTTATGAATGTATTGTCATGAATCTCAAAGTATTGAGTCTGGTGAGGGTTGGTTTTGTTAGGATTTGTGATGAATTTTTTTACCATTACCAATTGTGTATTTCCATGATGACACAGGTTTTCACATGGGAACTTGGTGCCTGTATCAGACCTAAGACAGTATAAGGAACTGGATTTCAGGTAAAAGCTTACATTATCCACTTGAATTGTACGTGTACCTTGTGTGTTATTTACTTTACTCCTGTCTGAACCAAATAACCAAGCATTAGGCTGACAGAACTGCTGCTGGGTGCACTTTGTTCAACATCTGATAGAGGGCACTTTTTACACATATACATGTAGATGTCTTCTGTAAAATTGGAATCAGAAACCACAAATCCCAAAACAGTAGATGATATATATGTCAGTTTCAAGAAGTTAAGACTACTAGGAGTATTAACCATTTCACAGCGAGGAACACCCAGACCTGTTACTATACCAGTTGTCATCATGGTTTTGTCCATTGCACTTTGCCACAAAGAATAGGACTATAAGTTTATTGATCAAACCAAAATGTATATCATATTCCCCTCACATGACTAATCATAAGAAGAACAAGAAAATTTTTGGTAAGATCAAGAATATTACTGTTATGAAAAGCTGTCTGTTATTGAAATAAATACTGTATAACAAAAGCTGAAAGCCATTAATGTGCAAGACCTAGATTATTCCTGTTTCTAAAATACCCCTCTGCTTGCCCCTTAAGATCTTCCATTATTAGAGTGCCCTTGACACCTAGTGTTCACCTGCTCTCAATATGAACAGACATGGGATCCACTTATGGCATCATTGAAACCACATGCAGGGTCTGACCACTCTATCTAAGCCTTATTTGATTCTACATCTCTCTGTCAGTAATAATAAACATGAAAATGTATCTCCCTCCAGTTTTGTAGCCTTAGTAGCCAAATATAGACCCAAGTCACAGCGGAGGTTCAGAGACAAGTGGACTGTATTATGACTACTAGATGGGAGTGTACTGTCATGCTGCGCATTTCTGAAAATTTATTATGTATCAGTGTTACTAGGCAAAAGATGGAATAAAAATTATTTTTACACAACTAAGAGGTTGTGGTCCCAAAAATTTGTTCAGCAACTTTTCAGTGACTGTCTGCCACCTTCCTCAGGACAATTCTGACTAGTGCATAGCACAGGTGTTGCTGTATTAGATATGTTCCCAAATGCAAAGTATTTACATATCTACACAGTTACAGGGAAGCGTATCTACAACATATCAAAATCAGGTGTTTTTATGGTATACTACAGTATATTGTTTTAGGATAATTCCAATGTAACAGGCCAGATTGTCCCCCTGGCCAAAATGTACCCGGGTATATATTCTCACCAGGGGTATATTCCAGCCTGTAACACCAGCTTGCTAGTAGGAATCGCATGACCAACACTCTCCCCTGCTTTTAATCACGAACAGTCTGGTTTAGTGCCAACTACTCGAGTGTATCACTAACATGTCATCACCTTTCACTTGACACCTGTAACATACTGACAGACGTGTAATAATTCTCAGCAGTGCCTGAACTGTTTCCGATTTGGTTCCACTTATGTTTTAATCATTCTGCATACACAAGCCACAATAAAGCCGACATGTGAAGTGACCACGTAGACATTTGGGTGCTGTCTGGCTGTGTCCGAGTAACCGTCTTCTTTTTTGAATTAGAAAGGCCTCTCGGGACATTGTATATGGAAAAGTTCATTGTACATAAGGCAAAAACATGATAAGGTTTGGGATAGATGTATATTTCTAATGGTACATAACATACAGTAGATACATACCAGTATGTCAGCTATTTCATATGACTTTGTAATTCTAAAACACAGATTAAAGGTGACTTTATGGTGATGGCATTTGCAGATCTGCACATTTTATGTCCTTCTTCTAACTGGTTCTAATGTGTCCCAGAGGACCAGTTGTTAGTCAGGTCATTTACATGTACTTGTTCCTTCTTAAGTCCTAAATATTGAAGCTTTAATTAGCGCAATGGTGTAAGCCCTTAATCTTGGAGCTGACTCATAAAAAAGCTCTACCAAATGTCGCCTTCGGTGCAAAGATGCAGGGCTAATCTCGAACACGACACCGACCGCACGGCCGAGAAATGTTCTCCACATGTTCCGTTGTCATGACAACACAGCACACAGACGGGTAGCTGGTCCTGTTCCAAGCCCCCGTCGCCTGTAGAAGTTACTTCGGATTGACAGTCTTGAACCTGCATAAATCCTTCACCTTCTCAGGGATTGAGCAAGCTTTTAAAGGATTTTCACTCTTAAACAAATGTCTGGATAACTACACATCTTGGCAAAGTTCATTTTCTGTTATTTCTGTTTTTGTTGGACTTCATGTTGACTCACACTGGATGTAGATGACATCCATCAGCATGTATTCACCGGGATACATACTAGTATATCTGCCACTTTGAAAAATAGTGTGACAGATCTCTAGTGCAGTGTCCCTCCAGGTATCTTCAGTTTGATTTCATAAATAAACCAAGGAGGTTCAATATAAGAACCTCCTTGCATAAACAAAGGATCAAACAAACAAACAAACAAACAAAATTTGTACTATACCTTCAGCCAGTCTTCTACCAACAACACTTCAGCTTTTATTGAGGATGTTGCAGGACTAAATGTTGAACACTGAAATCTGACCATCTGAGGTGTCTGAGTTGACTTTGTTCCAGAGCATCTTCACCTGTGTCACCCATTTCTTACAGGATAAATGTGGTTGGTATTACACATATTAGTCCTGGACTGACGGCCATCCAGCTCAGTCATCCTTACTTAACATCATGGCATCACACCAAGGCAGAGCCTTAATTACAGTTCCCAGTGGAACAGTTAGCATTGGCGCTTGAAATGAAACAGAAAACACAGGGCTCAAATTCATTTTTTGGATAGGTGCACTCAACGTAAAAACATAAAAACAAAGATTGTCTTATTTTTCTGACACTTAGATGTCAAGAATTTGCTGTATAGTAGTATATATTTAACATCTTCACACATGTAAACCTACAAAAATATTTGGGTGCACTCAGGTGCGCAGAAAAATATTGGGTGCACAGCTCGAAATCAAAAGTTAACTGTAACTCAATTGCACAATAGCAATGAATTGAGACTGTAATTACTAAGAATAATAAGGAAAAGTCAATTAGAACTAAGGGGTGAGGCTGTGTTGAGTGTTCCTGTTTAGTGGTTAGCAATCCCACTTGTGAAACCGCAAAGTCATAACCTTCTTAGCAACAGTCTTGCACCATCCCACCTCGGTTACTTCAAAGCTTATCAGCTTAGAAACACCTCTGCACATCTGTCACTGCTTCATGCCCCAAATACTAAATCAAGAGCAAAGAGAACCAATCTGTCGGAGTGTCAGACTACAAGATGGCAGGATAGATATGGGACCGTGGCCATGGGAGTGATTCTCAGATATGGAACTGATCAGACCTTGCCATGGTCAGTGGCAGATTGCCAGGTTAGAGAAGGATGTTATCTAAGGTAGGAGGATTCTTCTGGAAACTCATCTACATCTTCTGCTGTGCTTATAGGTAAATGACATCAGAGAGGGTTAAATATTGGAAAAAATTGTGCCATTTGGTGATAATGTTTACGACTTAGATGATAATGGTACAACTCTGTCTCACTTTGATGAAAATCTACTTGTAGAAAATGTTAACAGTTCAAAGAAAGGGAGAGAGCAATACCATAATTTTTTTCTGACAACTAAGTTCTCCTTGCTGACTGCACTTGAACATCTCCAGGTTTTGAAAGACATTAGATTTTCAGATCTATGTTCACAGCATAACCCTTTGGTGCTTTTTTGTCTGCAGTCTCTTATTTCTGCAAATCACTGTAATAAATGATTTTCGGACTCCTACTACTAGTCTGCTTCCTCCATCAAACCTCAAAACACCCCAGGTGAAAAGGATGTCCTTGAAGAGAATCCTGAAACATGACAGGCTGCCAACCTTGTTACTTGTGCAATGTGGCCAAGTGCATGTGGGCGTTCGCACAGTGGGGAGGAGTCAGGATCAGACGGCAGGTGGCAGAAATCCCTGCTGCTTACGTCTCAGATCTCGGCACATCCTGGCAGACAGAGTGATGGGATGTCCACAGGTGTGGTGAAATCTAATGTCACGGAGCTGAGACTCATTTTCTGATCCATCCACACCTATAAAGCCTGCTGTCAGGGGAGGGAGATACTGGTCATGGGAAAGATCTTGTTGGATTCCATATGATCAGACTTGAATTATCAGGTCAAGATTGTTCCAAGAGTTAATTGTCTGGAACTACGTGTATCTTAGCTAAGCCTTTGAATTCTGTCACAAAAAGTTGTGTTTGTGTGGTGTGATGTGGTGTTTGTGTGTGTGTGTGTGTGTGTGTGTGTGTGTGTGTGTGTGTGTGTGTAGAAACATGGCACGATTTTCTACATTTACACTCTGAAGTTACTGTAATTAAGTCAAAACAGTACAAGAAATAAACCAGAAACACACTTCCCCCATAGAGAACAAGCAAAGTGTCCAATGTGAAATGTTATAATTATGATAAAATTACTTCAACACCTGAAAGTGTGAACTATTTTTGTGACAGATCAAAGGAAAACAAATGAACCAGATTGTTGCTTGAGGGAAGGAAGAAACAGACTGTTTCCACCAGCTGGAACAGTATTTGAAAGATCTGTCTGTAATTAGTGTTTTATACAGGTGATGACAACAGTTAACAGGTGCTTTCACTGATAACTTCTTTCCTTACGAACAAACAGGTTTCCTGTCCTGCATGATCCTTACAAAAACAAAGGATCAAAGGAAAGCTGCTACCTTGCTGGATAGTTGATTATCTTATACCTTCATTCACCAGTCTACACTGTATAGTCTTTGATGAACCTTGACTTGGACTTAGTTCCTCAGTATCTATAATGTTGAAATGGAAACCAATGCTTTCTATTGGTGTTTACAACATATTGTTCCAGTGCATTCAAGTCTGTCATAAGAATGCATCAAATTGCTTATAATCTATCAAAAGAAATAATCTATCGACTGAAAAACTAACCTACTTGGGCAGGCTGAATAAAAATTACAAATGGAGCCATGGACCTTGGTGGAGATAACATTACAGCTATGTGTATTCAGTCTTTATTCTCTGGAACTATGTATATTATATTATCCAGTCTGTTTTCTCTGTAACTATGTGTAGTATAAACTATGTAGTCTTTATTCTCTGTAACTATGTGTATTCAGTGAGTATTCTCTGTTTTCCATACTGTACAGTGTCTTAGAAGAAGGATCCCAGTGCCTTGCCAAGTACAGGAATGGTCTGTGGTACCCAGCGACTGTCCAGGGTTTTCAGGAGGATGGGTACAAAGTGCAATACTCTTCCTACCAGGAGACAGCTGTGCTTGGTGCAGAGTCTATATATCCTATGGGTGAGTAACTTCTCACTATGGTAAGTGTGCTAACTACGAATTCTTGCAATGCAGTTGTCTTCCTCTGAATACATATATTATGAATGTACACATAGTATTGTTGTGTTCCACCATATACATCCTGTTGATCCCAATGCCATGTCTTCTTCACATGTATTATTGAAGCTCTAAGGTAAAGATACTTGCTTCTCATTGCATTCATTGTAGTAGAGGATTCATTGTAGTAGAGGGTGGAAAGAAAATATGTCAGTATTCTTAAGATTAATCTTGAACAGAAGGTTTAAGATGTTATCAAAGTATAGTACAGCCAGAACGTTGGTCATCAGCCATTTTAGTGATGAGAAAGAGAGTGTGAGCTTGCGATGTCGCCAAGACCAGATGTCCTCTACACTTTATTATAAGTATTTTATTTATAAGTAAGACTGAATGATCCTTCTTCAAGACAAAAGTAACAATAACCTTCCTCACAGGTGTCTCCAGCCCATCGTCATCTTCTGACAGTGAGAGTGAAGAAAATGGAGACAGTTCTAACAGTGCCAGGCTGCAACCAGATGTGGATGAAGAGGAAGAAGATGTTGCCAGATACATGTGGACACCCAGTGGAGCAACACGTGCCTTGGGAGAGTGGGAGGCTCATACAAGGGTAGGAACCTTCAATTGTGTCTTCATATCATATGCAAGAAATTGACAAGGAAGCAGATTGGGTGGGAACGCAGGGATTTTTGTATTGGTCAATTAGTATACATGTACTACAGCCTATAATTTTGGGGAAGTATGTGCACTGGTGCATCTAACTTAAGAATTCAGAAAATTTTAGTGCACTGTGCACAGCAGAATTGTATTTTCCATGTTGGCAAGTTTAGGTGTTGTGTCTAAGTTAGTGGAGTGAACTTTATGTGCAGTGACAAGTTCAACAGAGTTCACTCTACTTCACAGCAGCCAACAAGGTCATCTACTCATGCCTGTTCCCAATTGAGCCGTTACCTTGTACATTGTACTATGGATACTTCATATGTCTGTCTGGAAAATATGTATCAAGCTAGTTTTTCATCCTATAGTGGTAAGATTTCTTTCAAGGGTGTTTGTTTTTCTCTGTCTGCATGTGAACCCCAGATCTAGGTAATGCTATGTCCAGCACAAGTAGTCAAGTAAGTTATAAGTAAGTGACCCTACTGGTTGGGAGTTTCTACGCAGGGTGTCCTTGCTTCTGAGACATGCATATCTGGACATGCACACTTCTGGAGAGGGTTGTCATCCTGTGCAGTCCTTAGGATAGAATCCAATGTTAAGAGGTGTCCCGCTGTTCAACTTACTATAGAAAGCTACAGGCATCTCCCTCAGATTGCATTTGAATTCGCCTGCGGTGCTTGAAGGTGTTCTTTTGGGGGTGTCATGTCTGGTAAGAATATAATGCCTTTTGCTTTTTCCTGCGAGTGTTTTTGCAAGTGTTCTTGGGAATGGAGACATGTTCTATTCTGTAATATCAGAGGTCATCCCTGCCTTGTGAGTTTGATATGATATAAAGAAATGGTGAAATGACAACTTTTTATAAAGATCACAAACTTTCTTTATTGAGGAAACATCATTCCATGGATTTCATCTTAACTTAGTACAGGTAATATAAAAGTTGTTGTACTGACCTCATGTCCTGGCATCAAGTAAAAAAGAGCATTGCAAACACACCCAAGCTAAAATGCCAATGTCTTGCGATGATACTGTCACTTAATATATCTATTTACCATTTTTGTTTTTCTGGACCACAAACCTACAATTAAATGGTACAATTTGTACAAATCCATACTGATGAAAATGGTTTCCTCATACTTTCAACAGAAAATAACAAAAATAGCTGTTGCACAAGAAAATTACCATATAATTGATATGATACATACAGCTACCTCTAGCCTACATTTGTTCCAGTTCAAGTTGATAAAAAGACCTTGATACTAAATGCTGCTTGATCAAATACCAGCTATATGATAATGCTTTTAAACTGATACAAAACTTTACATGTCACAGCTACATTGTGTGTGCTGCATTGTTTGTAAACACACAAGCACAGTTACAAGATTTTCTTTTTCACGCCTGTGACACCTTTGTGCACTTTTCAAACACAACGAAATTTCAAATCTTAATTAGATTCTATCTAATTAAACATACGAGCAGGTTATAGGAAAGTAAAATTATTCTATTTCACAAGAACGTTTGACTTGTTCATAGTATTTTCTTGGCAAGTTTTGGCCTTGTATTGAGACATGAGGCCAAAGGGGACTCAGGCCAATAAAGTATCTTAAACAAGAAGTAGTAATGATGAAAAATAAGCAGCGTTTCAACAGGCTAAGTGTAACTGAAGCTAGGATAAGTACTCATCTACAGATATGCAACTTCTAGAACTACTACATAACACAGATCGTAATATACACAAACATATAGCCTCTCCTGGCTTTTTTTAGGTAATTAGGAGTCTATCTAGTACTTTTGCCTTCCCCCCATACAAAGTTTCAGTCAATAGGCAGTAAAGAGGACAATTTTTTCTTGATGTGACATTTTTCAATTACTTAGTATATAACTAACTGGTAACGTTACATGTATGTTCCTTAGTGTCTTGCTTTTGCATTCATATTTTACATACCCCAAACTATAGTTGCCTTTATGTCACATATTTTTCTATCTTGTTTAGCCAAATACCAGTACTGAAACTTTGGCGCTTACAGTTGAATTATAGCATTACAAAATTAATGCACACTCCAGCAGCAAAGGTACATCTCTTATGAATGGAGGAAAAGGTACATTTTTTCACAACAGGGAGATCTTTTCAAGAAATTGTACAAAACATCTGTTAGTCTTACCATGACCTTATAAGTCCATTGGAAACATACCTTTTTTGGAACATAATACCTTTTTTCTCCACTGGGGTTAGGTTGGGAGGTGGGGGGGATATATTTTAATACCAAAGTAATAAAAGTACTGAAGAAGGAGTTACAATAGCTCTTTTTCTCTCTTTTTTTTTATATGAGCTTAAAGTTTTCAAACAAACATAGAAGCAAGGCTGTAGATGTTACATCATTTGACAAAGCTTTAAGATAGTTTTAAAGTTTCTCTTGAACCTGTCTTTTGCATTTTTAACACAGAAAAAGCATCACCTTACTCTGCTCTTGCATATTTTGTCTTAAAATCCATGGACCTCATTTTCATTTCGACAAACGGAACGGACTTCTCGTGGCCCTTCCAGTGGTACCAGTTGACGCCCTGGCTGTGCGTGTTGTCGCCGTACTGGCCGTTCAGGTTGCTACGATGACAGTTCTTGTACCACCACGCTCCGTGGTACGCAAAGGCACAGTGGCTGAGGGCGACGTCATTATCCTTGTCCCTCGTAGAGAAAGGCCTGTTGTTGTGGTAAGTGAGGGAGTCGCCTGAAATGTGAAAAGAGAATAAGTTGATTAATGCAGATTTAGTGTAGTTTTAGGTCACGAAGGTGTGATAAGTTTCTGCACCTTCATTCTGATGAATTCTCTTTTTCTTAATTGTTGTCACAACATATAACGGTAGGTTGAGAGGTTGGTACACTTACCTTGTACATATATCATAGACCTATCTTTTATATCTTGTAGTGTTGTACATCTTTTAAATATTGCAGTGTCAATACAGGTGCTTCTGTTGTAGATTTAGGCTGTAGAAAAAGCGACCATCCAAAGAGACGGAAAGAAACAGCATTACCACCCACCTGATGTGCCGGAATATTCCCCGATGTTGAGCTTGTATAGGTCTGACTCTGAGCCCAGTTTGAAGTTTTCCCACTGCCCGTACACGGCGTCAGCACCGTCGGCCAAGTCTATACGCAGCTGGTAATCTCCTTGGGCAGATAATCTGTGGATGTTGTCATTTCCTGTGGGACAAAAGGTCACAAAGTATGCCTCGTCAGTAGCTGAAGAAAGATGGTGGATGCTGTCTGAAAGCTTCACTTTTTATCATAGTAAGTCGTGTGTACCACTTTAAATCCTTCCCGTTATGACGAAGTATGTTTATTTCTTGATTTCTTTTTGGTTTCTTTCATCAAGTTATTCATGTTACATGTCCAGCTGTCACGGCTCATTGTAATTAGCACTCATTTACTGTGAGGCTATGTGATTAACTGAATGAAAATTAGAGTGGAATTCAAACAATAGATGACTGCCTCACCGAGCCAGAATTCTCCTGTGTTTTCTCCGAATCCTGCGCGGTACTCTCTCCACCGTCTCCAGAAGTCTACAGAGCCATCCTGCCGTCTCTGGAAAACCTGTGGAGGAAAATTCATGCCTGTTTGGTTAGCAACACAGAATGATCAAGCAAATGACACATACTACAGAAACTGTCTTCAAATACTCATGTAACTGACCAGGAATGGACACTGGCTTATGCTGTCATGATAACAAAAATATTATCAGTGTCTCATTAATCATCAACTATTATGGTTTCTTTCTTCCATTATACACACAAAAAAAGGTTCATTATACTCCAAAAAGGCTTGACATTCACACTCCCCCTATTTTGTAATCATACAAAAGTCTGGTGACTTAAAAAATGAAATATCAAAACATACGATCCAGCCTCCGCCATCAGTCTCCATGTCGCACCAGACCTCAATGGGCTCACCGCCGTCCGAGGGGTAGACAGTGAAGGGACCGCTCTCTGTCTCCCCATTGGCCACCACCTGGCCACAGTCGCTGGGGCTGGGGTAAGGGATGCCTGTTGGCAGGACGGTCAAACACAAACTCAACATCTCAACATACACAAAACATAACAAGTTTGTTGGGACAAAATTTTGTCTAACAAAGGGTTTAAATATATATATTATTAAGTTTGAATTGATTTGTGAGACAATATATAAAATGGTATTTTTTCAAAGATAACTTTTTAGTTCATTTACTTTAATTTCGAAAGCTTTCATCTAACCAAAAATCATATTATTAACAATAAAGAATAAAGCATAATAGGAGATGCCACAGCTATTCATTGAAAGATTTTTTCAGATCAACCTCAATTTGAAATAAAAAAACAGCGCTAAAATATTTTTAGCAACTTTGAAATTGTTATTATTTACACTGACTCATTTACAGAAGGGTCACATTTGTACATTAAAGACAACACTATTTGTTGTCAGGAAGTAACAAAAAGTTGGAGCATCTCCTATTAAATGTCCATGTTGCATACAACAGCTTAGGGAGTTGTCGCATGGCGTTCTGTAACAATGCTGCTACAATGAAAATAAAGCAGGTGGAAGTCAAAGCTGTGACTCCAAAACAGTTGTACATGTGCACATGATATAATAGCAGTGATTCAAAGACATGAAGTTAGTTTGTCACTAACGTCATAATGATAACATCTCCCTGTATGCGGATGAAATAGAATACATATTCAGGTACAAAGTGATTTCAAAATTCTCAACTTGGAAATATATTTTAACAATGATCATTAAATTTTGTTAGATCTAAATTGTAAAATAGTCTGTTAAGTCTAATACATTCATAACAGTTACATATGCATGTAGGCAGGGATGAAATCAGACAGGGGAAATTATCTGTCAAACCAGCACTTCATCATGCTGATGAGAGATACTAGATAAAAATTAAGGTACACATAATAATGTGCCAAGTTTTGTTTGTACCTTAGCTGTTGACAAAGATGCAAGGAACTTCAAAGCATGGTTGATTATTTCTGAAAACATCCCTGCTGACATTATTCATTAGGTCATAACATGATAAAACCTTGGCTGTCTGAAACCGAGGGCATGAGAAAAACAATCATGACCAAATCTACAATCATGGGTTTCTCCTGTATAAGATTTCAGTCTAAATTTAGTCTATGAAGAGTGATGTGACTGTTTCTGACAGCCAAGGTTTTGTCTCAATGTCTTGTGGAATTGTCTTGTGGTTGTAGAAATGGCAACTGTTTATAGAGTAACTGTGAGGTGACGTGACATGAAGTGGTTCTGTCCGTTTATTTTGTCACCGTGATTTTTGAGAACTCACCACCGGGACCCACGGCGGGCCCTACATCCGTGCCTGAGGGGGCAGGAACACCAGATGAGGAACAAAAGACAGTCAAAATAGAAAACAAGAAGAAAATAAAAGAGAAAAAACTCAAATAAAAAGCAACTAAAAAGGCAGTATAGATGAGATACTATGAACGTAAAATAAAAGGACTAAAATTCTACAGAAATGATAAAAATTATGAAGAGGCAAAAGAAACTAGCAAAGAATAAGATTCATGAAAACAAAAATAAAACTGAATGTAACACTAATGAACAGAAACAAAAAAAAAACTAGTAAAATAAAGTGCAATAAAATGAAATAAAAGTTGAAAGAATAAAGGTCTACTCTACATCAGACTGTAGAAGAATCTCTGGATAAAAAAGTGCAACAATTATTTCTGTTTGACCATAGTGCGATCCTGTGCAAGGATCACTCACTATAAGATACATACATCTGATGTGTACATGTTGGTGTGTACTCATTGTTGAAACTGTGTGTTGTGTTAGCACCATAATTAGACTGTTAGCTGATTATGAATTAGTCAGGGATCAAACTTGTTAGCGAGCCAAACCATTGCTTATTACAGGTTCAACTTCCTTCTTTTGTGTGGAAAGAAATTTCTCAATGATAATGGTTGTCCTTAATGTGTAAAATATTCTTAATACCGCCACATCAAAATGAATGTTCCTGACAATGGTATAAACATGTGCAATGTATACATGTATATCATTGTAAATATAGTAATGTAGCAGCTAACATTAACAAGACATACTTTGAAAAATCCAATATGATTGATGTGTACAATGCAACAGTAAACAACTAAAGCCTGTACAGAATAAACATTCATGATACAATCCCTTGCTAACTTGAAAACAGAAAGTAGAAGGACTATTTTTTCTCACCGACTTGGGTCGTTGCCTCTACCAGATCTGCGCGAATACCTGTTCCACTGCTGGTGTAGCCGCTGACTGTGATGGCATACCTGGTGCCAGCCTCCAGGCCGGTTAGGGTAGCCTCCTGTGGACACAGGCCACCAACACATACTTAAGATTTGTAACTAGACTAAGTATAACATTCCTCTAGACACAGATTTTAAAAGTGTCAAGAGTACTCAATTTAAGATAATGATATACAATCATGTTTTGGATAGGTGAATGATGGCCAATATAGGCATATACATGTATCACAACCATCATTTGGAAAAAAAAATTACATTCACTCACTCATTTTACTGCATTATACAAGGTGAAGATACTACATTTAAACACTTCTGCTTGAGGATTATCACAGTGATTTTGATGCTAAAATTGTTGTCTTGTGACTGAATACAGCTTTTAGATTTGTGGAGCTTTGTTATAAATTCCTACAACAAAACTTGCAATGGGAAGGAAGACTCACCAAAGTGTCTGCACCCTCCACTTTGTAAACCTGCGCGTCGCTGATTTCCAGAGCCCCGTCAGCAGCTATGGCTTGGTAGAAGACCTGGTACCCCTGTAGGGCCCCTCCGGCCTCAGCATCTGATATTCTTGTCCAGGACACACGGATGGATTCAGCGTCCACTGCTTCTGCATTCAGGTTGCCTGGGCCTACGGTAGGCACTAAGGAAAAAGACCCACGAAATAAATCATTTGCTTTTCACAGCAACAGCTAGTTAGAAGTGAGAGTTTGAAGGCTAGTGAAATGTACATGTATTGTGCAGTAAGTGCCTGAACTGATGGATTGAAATAGGTGCTACAGTACATGTATTATCGTGACATTGATGTTACTAGTGGTGCAGTTAAATTATGGTGCTAAAAAAACAGACAAAAATGTCTGTCAACTAAGTGGTGCTTCTGAACTGAATGGAAACAAGGTAGACGTCAGTCTGAAACATGAAAGACGTTACAATATCAACACACTACATTTAGTGCAGGGTTAATTTTCCTTCTCAAAAGAAAAAAAAACAAAATGATTAGCAGCATTGTGTTTACAAGTCTGTGAAGTCAGACAGTCGTACGTAGAGTTAGCACTCCTCTAGCATGGACACATTTGATTGGTACACACCACCCTCTTCTGTCCTTGTGGTCACCTGACTACTTTGCGGCCCTTCTCCTACGCTTGTATAGGCAGACACAGAGAACGTGTAGCTGGTCCACGGTCTGAGTTCGGACAGATCAAAGGAGAGCTCGGTATTTTCTGTGTCGATTTCGGTATAGTCCTCTGTGCCCATCCTTGCATAGTAAACCTTATAGCCTTGGATCACGCCATTGCGATCTGTCGGGGGTTGCCACGTCACACGTAGTGCGTCGGAACCTTGAGCGATCCCTTGGACATCTTCTGGCGCTCCAGGAACTTTTTTAGGGGGGAGGAAGATGAAGGGTGACATAAGCACAGGAAACATACATGTAGCAAACAAAATCATGGCATAGAAGTAGCATGACAAGGTGCAGCACAAGGTAGTTACATGCTTGCAGTGGTGACTAGCTTTTTTGTTAATGGCAAAAACAATGCAATGCAGTGACAGCATTATCAATTGCACTAGTGCATTTTGCAAAGGAAATAGACTTGAAATTGCTTGAACATATGCTGGCAGCATGTTAAGGGTATATGGGTTATGCAAAGGATATATGGGAAGCAGGACTGGTGCAGAGTAAGGAAAGGTCGGGAGAAGCAGCATAAAAGGTGAGCAACTGGGAAAAGATGGAGGGCAGCAGTAGCAGCTGTTATGGTTTCATGGTGTCAGTTTGTTGTCATTGTTGTCAATATGGTCTGACTGAGTGTGAAGCCTCTCCTCTCTCCAAGCAGTGGCATGTGTGATCTGATAGAAGAGCTCCTGTCAATGTATACCATAACCTGTTGCTGTGTGTACAAAAATAATAAGTTGTGATGTGCTAAAAAATTCTGTGGTATACAGTATACAGTGACTGTGATCTGGAGAGTCTACTTGGAAGACAGAAGAAGTCATAGATGAGTTGTTGGTTATGTCTCCACACTTCATCAGTCCTTGGTCACATACCGTCCTTCATGGTGCGAATGATGATCATATTGCTTTTCATTCCGTCGCCTCTGCTGGTATAAGCAGCGACAGAGATGATGTATTCTGTCCACTTCTTCAGTCCAGTTAGTTTATAGACCAGCCCCGTGGATTGCGTGTCTTCAACGCTCGGTGCGATCTGCCCCATCTTCTGATAGAAGATTTTGTACCCAAGGATTTGTCCGTGAGCGTTATAGGGTGGCTGCCAGCGAAGCTGAACGCTCTGCGAATCCCACACCAGCCCTGATAGGCTTTGAGCTGGCCCAGGAACTATGAGGTGGAGGTAACAAACAATGAAGGGGTGACATGGGGTGGGGATGAAAGGGCATGAACAAATGCAGATGCAGCAAAGCAAGTGAAACTGTTGAATTTTACAGACACATAATGCATAGCGGACATAAAATGCAATGGCTTGATGAGCAATAGCAGATACACTGTTGCAGTAAGTGTGAATAATACATTGTACATGTATATCCATGCGCAAGCAAGCAAGCAACATGCAAGATGGAGATGAATTGGGAGTACAATGGAGGAAAGGGAAGATGGGGATGACGTACCACCCTCAAGGGTTCGAACAACAAACTCATTGCTCCGTGGGCCATCTCCAGCCATAGTGTAAGCGACCACAGAGAAGATGTAGATGGTGTCTGCCTTAAGTCCAGGGAGCGTAAAGGAAGGTTTTGTTGTCGGGGTGACAACAACTTGGTTTTCTATCTCGTTCGCTGACCTATACAAGACCTTGTAACCCAACAGTCGACCGTAGATGTAGAGGGGAGGTTGCCAGCGCACCTCCACGGTATCGAAGTCCAGGGCAGTAGCAAACACCGCGCTCGGTGGTCCGGGAACTTTGATCATTTTTGCAGAGGAAAATGGATGAGGTAGATGAGTTGTTGAGGATATATTTCTGTGACTGTGCATTTTTGAGTTGCACAGCACTTAAAGCTACCCACAGATAGGGAAATGCATTGCTAAGCTTGAATGATTAACAAAAAAGATGGGCATGATGATGTCAAGAATACTAGCATGATGAAGTATAAAATGGCGAGTTGTTCAGGCACAAGAAATGGCAATTTGAATAGAATTAGCAATGCTTCTGTAAACTGTAAGAATCTATACTTATTCAACAAAATTTAACTATTAGTATATTGGTCAATGGCTGATGTAAGAAGTTATTTCATTCCTTAACAATTAGTAACAGACTTACATGTAAATGCATACAGTTACACATACATAGTTTTACAGTGCTTAAGTTTACACAACACAGATGGATTAAGGAAGGAGAGTGCTTGTCTCTTTGTCCCAAAGAACCACATGTGATCCTTGATGATAATACTTGTGACATAGATAACAGAATTTGTTAGTGGTGAAGGAAAAGTGGAAATGAAGACTTTGAGACTCAGAGAGGAAAGATTGTTCCAGTGAGATGGTGACATACCGCCCTCCGCCGGCCGAACTAAAACTGGGTCACTTCTATCCCCGTCTCCAGCTCCCGTGTACGCCACGACCCAAACGTTGTAGTCGTCCCAGTCCAGACCGCTTAGGGTGAAAGCCAACTGCGGCGTCCCGATATCAGCAACTTCCACGTCTTCGTCACCCGACTTCTGGTACAAGATCTTGTAACCGACTATGACTCCGTTTTGTACAATCGGCTGCTGCCATTGTACAAGTACACTAGCGGAGTCATCTCCAGGACGTGCCTCAATGCCGATGGGAGGACCAGGAACTTTGAAAAAGGGAGATGATATCATTAGTATGTTTCCTCCAACTGCAATGATAGAAATCTGAGCACAATATATGGGTCTAGAAAGCATTCTACATAGGAAGATGAAAGACTGAGCAGTAGTGGATAAGCTCTCAAATTTTTGTAACACCTTGGTTACAAGAGGAGAGAGTTGAGAAGATGATAATTAGCAGTGCCAAGGACCTTCTTGAAGGTACAGTAGGTGGTCTTGGTCTACTTAGATAGAAGAGTGAGAATCTACAACCGGGTAGAAGTGCACAGGCCCTTCTTTTCTTGGGAGGTGATCTACAAAGATTGAAGTGTGAGGAAGGTGATGGAAGTTGTTGCGTTTTACATTTACATACCATCTTCTCCTGTTCTGACTACTATGACTGGACTTCTCAAGCCATCCCCTGCACTGGTGTAGGCGGACACCCAAATGTTGTACTCTGTCCACTTCTCCAGATCAGACAAAGTGTACATCAAGTCAAGCAGGCCGGCGTCTTCTTCGTTCTCCCCTTCTTCCCCAACCTTCTTGTACAAGATTTTGTACCCCTGGATCACACCATTTTGTTCATCTGGTGATGGCGGCATCCACTGCAGCTCGATTGTTGTTGAGTCTATGGCGATCCCCTGAACTTCACGTGGGGCTCCGGGGACTTGAAGGAACGGTCAAAGTGTCGTTAGCACACAAGGAGATATTATCATCAATTGCATACCTCAGATTGTATACAAAGAGTCACGGATGATGACATAAAGTGGCAGAAACTGCCAGAAAGAAGTGGGAAACTTCAATTATCCAGCTACATGTACATGTTTATGTCATTTGATGCTAATGTGTAGAGATAATTACATATTTTGATGAATTCTCGTTTGTACAGTGAATGTGACGAAAGGTACATATACCTTATGTAAACTATGAATGTGATGAATGAAGTGTCTATGTGTTGATTGTATCTTGTTAGGGGGTAGTGCGCTGTATTGGACATACTTGCAGACAACATGCAAATAGGTAGGGCAGGGTCATCGCAATACAAGAGTCGAGCGGTATGATCCAGAAACAATTCAAGGCATTAGCATATCACAAGGACTCAAAAGTCGCTATCTGGTTACAACAGAGGCAGCACAGTGTATGCGTGATACGTACCACCCTCTTCTGTTTGCACCGTGATTGTCTCACTTCTTTCACCATCGCCCGCTGAGTTGTAGGCTAGAACTGAAACAGAGTACTCTCCGAACGGCTGAAGTCCGGTCAGAGACCATGATGCATCGGGTGATCTCGTGTCAACAGTTTCCTCGGTGTCGCTTCCGGTCAGCGTCCAGAAAACTCTGTACCCTTCGATATCGCCCTCGGGTGCTTGCCAGCTCAGTTTCATGGAGTCAGACGTTTTTTCAACCGCAGCGAGATCAGTTGGAGCACCGGGAACTTAATGAGGAAAAAAAACTTGGTCAAACATCACAGCACTTGCAAAGAATATATCCATAGTACATGTAAGTGTAGGATGATTTGGGAACATTTCTTCACTGTTTGTTATTTCTATTAGAGAAGAAGAAAAACCTTGTGCAGTAACTCACCTTAGTTCAGGATGGCCTCTTTTAAGCCCAATCATCACCATATAACCATATATCGCATTGCTTTGCCTTAAGTTATGGATGCAAGGAGCTTGTCTGTTAAACTTATCGCAAGCACATTACACTTACAAATGAGTGCCCTTTAAACCAGAAGAAAGGCCATTTTTCCAGTCAGGGGTTTGACTTTGATACCTACCACCCTGCAATGTGCTGACTAGGATTTCCTCGCTTTCATCCCCATCGCCTGCCGCCGTAAAGGCTAGCACGACAATGGAATACGTCGTCTGTGGTTCCAAATCCAGCAGCATCGTGGACAGCTCAGCTGGTCCCAACTCAACAGTTGAGAACTCAGCAGCATTTTCAGGCATGTAAATCACCTTGTACCCAAGGAGCACCCCATTGATCTCTACGGGGGGTTGCCAATCGACTGTAATAGTGGTGGGATCTACAGCATGACCCTGGACATCTCTAGGAGCTCCAGGCACTGAGGAAAGAAAAAACCAAGAGAGGCTGGTAGGTTAGTTCTAAGCCCCTCAGGGCCCTATGAAGGCATGAAGAGAAAAGCAATACAAGGTTGGGTGCAACCCATACATGTAAAGCTTAAAGAGCAGTTAAGAAAGAAATACATGTTGCTGCCAGTCTTGCGACAGTCTGAGTCAGAGGCAAACTATGTAAGTCTTTAAGGTCAGAAAAATAGTTGTCCATAAGAAGAGGCCAATGTCCATCTGTCCAACAAGGATGTCATATCCCCATCTGTCCAATATCACTTTTGGGCACAGATGTGCATGTACATACCCCCCTCTGCCGTTTGTACAGTAACTTGTTCGCTCCTCTCTCCGTCCCCTGCGTCAGTGAAGGCTACAAGCCAGATGTAGTACTCAGTGAGCGGCCTAAGGCCCCTCAGTAAGTAAAACGTCTCGTAACGCTCAACGTCTTGGGTCGAGACACTGGTCTCCTCTCCTACTATCTGGTAATGCAGATGGTACCCCAGTATCTCTCCGTTTGACTGGGATGGAGGTTGCCAAGACACCTCAATGGCTTCAGAGCCGAGTGAAGATGCTCTAATGCTGGCAGGTGCACCGGGGACTGGAAGGGTGAAGGGTGCAAAAAGAAAAAAGTGCTTGCATGCAAAAGAAAACTATAAAAAAGGGTACAGATTCAGATACATAAAAGCAACAATGTCAGTTGTCTTTAAAAGTGAGCAAATTAAAAATTGTGCAGCATTTACAAGAAAAGATGAAAGTTGGGTAGTGCTGTTGGTTGGAGATTATCAAAGAGTTGTGTTTTGTTTGATAGAAGAAATTCAGGGTTCACCTACCACCAGCTAATGTGCGAACGAACGCTGACTGGCTACGCTCGCTCTCACCACCTACAGTGTAGGCAGTTAGATACATTTCATATTCTGTAGCAGGCCGCAGCCCACTGATGAGGTAGGTTGTGTCAGATGATCCGGCTTCCGCCTTAAGCGTCTCTTCGCTGTCGAAAACCTTGTAGTAGATGTAGTAGCCGACCAGGTCTCCGTTTGTATCTGTCGGGGCCTGCCATGTGACTCTGATTGCGTCAGGAGCTTCTCCTTCTCCAGTCACCCCTAGGGGTGTTGTTGGGGCTTGAAGTTGCAAGGGGAAAAGAAGATATTCATTTCACAGCCATGATACAATGGTAGTTCTTGACGAAGAAATCTGGATGATGGAGAGATGAGGATGACTGTAGAGTCTGTTATTGTGATGGTGGTACAGAGGCCTTGGTTAGAAGCCGCGATGGCATCACAGGAATGCCACACAAGTTGGCAAAGCCAGACTAACTGGTTATACCGAGTTACAAAAATCCAGAGTCCAGGAACAGTGTTTAACTTCCATAAATGGCCACAATGTTCAGCATGGTACATCTCATTAAGAACAATGAAAGGTGGACAACATTAGGACAGTGATGATTACCAGTATTGCCTGTAGCCAGGACAGACTTGGAATGGAGTGGCGACAACATAAACAGAATGATGCAAGAAATAAACTGTGCCTTGTGGTTCTATACTTGCCTACCAGTTTTAAGGGGGATATTGGGGTCTTCTTTAATAGTTATATGTTGAACGGGAGTTTATAAAGGATGTTATTAGAAGCCACAACTGCTACCTACCACCACTCAAAGTTTGGACCAAGACTTCCCCACTACGTTCACTCTCCCCACCCTCTGTGTAAGCTGTGAGAGTGATTATGTATTCTGTAGCAGGCAGCAGCCCACTGATGCTGTAAGTGGTTTCGTCAGGACCAGCCTCAGCTCTTGACGTCTCTGTGCTTCCCACAACTTGGTAGTAGATGTAATAACCAAGCAGTTCTCCGTTGGTCTCACTAGGGCTCTCCCATGTGACTGTAATTGTGTCAGGGGCTTGTCCTTCAGCAGTCACACTTAGGGGTGTCGATGGTGCTTCAGTGAGAAGGAAACAGGTGGCATCACTTAGATACAGAGTAGAAACTATGTCCATATTTCAGCAATATGCAATGTTTACATTTGTGCTAGAACAACAATATTAAGAGTTTTTAGGAGATAGAGTGAGTTAGATACTTGTTCTGGACCTTTTCTGTTGTTTACCAACATTTAGACACTTGACAGAAAAAATGAAAGCAGTATGGACAAAGTGAATAAATCCCTCTTGATGACCTGGTGAAATGTCCATTATGTTGGTTGAATGAGAGGATGAACAAGAAATGTGTACAAAGGGCAGACATGTGGATAATGCATGGTGTAGCTTTCATCCACTCCTGGTAACAGGAGCTTTTTCTTCTTATCAGTTGTCACCACACGAGTAGGAAGCTAAGTCTAATGTCATCTTCTGAGATACAAGTGTTCAGTAGCACTGATACAGACAGTACAGATATGTGAAGGGGGAAGATCGACAAGCTTGGATTTGAAAGCATTGCAGAAAGGACAGTCTTTTGCTGAAATGTACATGTATCACAGTGAAGAACCCAGGACTATAGATAACTCTATTTCATAATGCATGGCAATATACATGTGAAGCTGAAGACACACCGTTAACAATTAATAAAAAAACTGAGAATGTCAAAACCCTGTTTCCATCTGCAAAATGTACCATATCATCAAGCTATGAACACGAAGGGTATCTATTGAGGCAATGTGATTTAAGATGTGGCAAAGCTGACACAGGGTGCCAATGATGGATTACTCTGAAGCTGTCACTGCCCTTTGGCAATAGTAGCTTATAATCAGCAGGCCAATGTAGCAATGCAAAGCTGTCAATCCTTAGGAGTCTGATACAAGCTGCATAATGAAGCAATAGCAACAAAACTTAGGTTTCCCTTATACAGAACCAAGATGTCAAGGAAATGTACAATGGCCAAGATGGGCATCATGGTTTCCTCAGGTGTTCTTGGTGCAAATTTTGAAATGAACAAGGCAGATGCAAGCTGTAGATGGCTTAACTTGAAGGCAAAAAGCAGGACACAGTTTTAAGTTAAGATGGAGTAGCATTGGCAATGAGCTGCAAAGCATGGTGGTGCAGATCATTCCAACTTAACAAGCTTTGAAAGCAATGGAAGCTGGAATGATAATGGATGAAGTGCTACATACCACCACTCAATGTGCTGACCAGGGCTTCCCCACTACGTTCACTCTCCCCACCCTCTGTGTAAGCTGTGAGAGTGATTGTGTATTCTGTAGCAGGCCGCAGCCCACTGATGATGTATGTGGCATCATTTGGACCAGCTTCGGCCCTTGATGTCTCTGTACTTCCTACTTCTTGGTAGTAGATGTAATAACCAAGCAGTTCTCCGTTGGTCTCAGCTGGGGTTTGCCAAGCAACTATGATGGTGTTCGGACTTTCTCCTTGTGCAGTCACGCCAAGAGGTGTTGACGGAACTTCAGCAGGGCAAAAGAAAGTGTTACATCATGTGTATGTCAAGTGGTGCTGGCATGAAATTTGAGGAAAGTTATGGACAATGTAAGCATAGTTCTGGGTGAACATGATCTTTGTGGAAGGCCATCATCATCAGAAGCACAAAAATGGCATGGTAGCCAGCTTAAAGTCAGGATAGTGCAGAGATATGCAGACATTTAGAAAGGTTTTGCAGTATTACGACAGGCCAACTATAAGTTCACAACTGTCAAAACAAGTTTACATTGCACCTTGATGGCTAAAAATGAACATTCAGCAGAAAGTGACAGTAGTTTAAAAGAAGGGAATAATCGAAATTAAAAGTAGGCAAAGTTGGGTTTGCTTCAATTGCTACCTACCACCACTCAAAGTGCGAACCGGAATTTCCCCACTACGTTCACTCTCCCCACCCTCTGTGTAAGCTGTGAGAGTGATTATGTATTCTGCAGCAGGCAGCAGCCCGCTGATGCTGTAAGTGGTTTCATCAGGACCAGCCTCAGCTTGAAACCAGTCTGGGAATCCCGCAAGTCGGTAGTAGATGTAATAACCAAGCAGTTCTCCATTGGTCTGGGTTGGAGGTTGCCATGTCACTTGAATCGTATCAGGGGCCTGTCCTTCAGCAGTTACACCCAGGGGTGTTGATGGAGCTTTAGGAAGACAAAATAACATGTCAAGTCAGGTATATGTCATTTGATATCTAGAAGAGGTCTTGGCCTGAAATTAACCATCACCACATAATCTCATAGACACCACTGCAATGCTCAAGAAAGGCTGCCACCCAAAGAGGCACACAGCAATAAGATTGAAACACCCAGTAGTTCGTCTGGCCAGAATGATGAGGAAACTGTAGATGAAGAGAATCCAGCATGACCAGGAGTGTGCACCAGAGATTGCCGTCACAAGAAGTGACTAAAGAGAAATGATGAGAGACCCCAAGCCATCATCACCAACAGAATGTAGGAAGGTCTTTGCTCGTTGAGAAAATGTAAGATGAGACTAAGAAGAAGATGATTTGACAAGGTGATGCTGCTGCAAGCTGTAGAAAAGCAGTGATTTTAAGCTATTGGAAGACAACCTACCACTGCTTAAGGTGCGAACTATGATTTCCGAAGTTCGATCACTCTCACCCCCCATGGAGTGAGAGGACAGAGTAACTACGTAATCTGTGGCGGGCTGCAACCCGCGGATGCTGTACATCATGTCATCAGGACCGGCCTCAGCACTGGACTTCTCCGAGGTCCCGAGAACACGGTAATAGATGCGGAAACCACCTAGGTCTAGGTTTCCATTTGGCGAGACGGGAGATTGCCACCAAACCTTAATACTGTCAGGAGCTTCCCCTTCAGCTGCCACACTAGAGGGTGTTGGTGGGACTTAAGGAGGACAGAAGAAGAAATGAAGTCATATGCATGAGGAAATTTACGTCAAGTTGTTCTGTAAGACAGACATGGCAGACTTAAGTGGCCCGTCCTTTTAAGGACGTCACCTTCATATAGTATGCTGCATTTGAAATGCTTACATGTAGTTGAAGTACGTATACTACCTACCACCACTCAATGTGCGGACCAGGATGTCCCCACTACGTTCACTCTCCCCACCCTCTGTGTAAGCTGTGAGAGTGACTACATATTCTGTTGCAGGCAGCAGCCCACTGATAATGTAGGCTACATCGTCAGGTCCAGCCTCTGCCCGTGACGTCTCTGTAGTTCCAACAACTTGGTAGTAGATGTAATATCCGAGCAGTTCCCCGTTGGACTCTGTTGGAGGCTCCCATGTAACCATAATGGAGTCGGGAGCATTTTCTTCAGCGCTCACCCCGAGGGGCGTGGATGGGACTTTGGGAAACAGAACAACAAAAGCTCATGTCATGTGCATGTCAACATGTAGACAAGACAATGTAGCACAGTACATGTATGGTATGGCAAGCAGAGTCAACACCGGGCAGGACTGCAACTTAAACTGCCACAGGCTGTAGAATGAAGGACGCAAATAAAGGATGAAGCAGTTCTGTAAACATAGCAACGTTGCATGATAGAAGTCGTCAAGGGAAGATATGTGAAAGAGAAACTACTACAGAGGTTACCAGATTTCTCAAGGTGAAATAGAGCAGAAGTCAGTTGTTACATCTTTATAATGAGTGAGTGGATGCCTAAAAACTACATAAAGCATGACCTACCACCGCTTAATGTGTGAACCAGAGCTTCCCCACTACGTTCACTCTCCCCACCCTCTGTGTAAGCTGTGAGAGTGATTATGTATTCTGTAGCAGGCCGCAGCCCACTGATGCTGAAAGTGGTTTCGTCGGGACCAGCCTCAGCTCTTGATGCCTCTGTACTTCCCATGACTTGGTAGTAGATGTAATAACCAAGCAGGTCTCCATTGGTCTCAGTCGGGCTCTGCCATGTGACTACTACGGTATCAGGGGCTTGTCCGTCAGCAGTCACACTTAGGGGTGTTGAAGGGACTTCGAGAGGACAAAAGAAGAAGTCACTATATGTGCGATGTCATGTCAGCTAACACAGAAAAAAGTTATTACGACAAAAGAAGGTAGGCCAAAAGATTTAAACCAAAGTTTACCACACAAACATTACTAACATGCTACAAAGGTACAAGGTTATTAAACATTGTTCTAAACAGGGACATTAGGAGCTTTAGAGGAAAGCACAGCATTTTTAAGAGGCAAAGAGATTGCTGGCAGGCAATGCCATCTCAGGTGAGATTACCAGAAAAGGATGTGCCAACAAGACATTGCCAATGTACATATAAGTAGGACCCAGTAGATGAATATGTCCAGTTTGTAAATTAAGCTTAGATTTACTGTTGTAGGATAATGTCTTTTGAAGTAGGTTGTTTATAGTTTAAAAAAGATGTGTATGAATGCTGCAGGAAGGGAAACCTACCACCACTCAAAGTGCGAACCAGAACATCCCCACTACGTTCGCTCTCCCCACCCTCTGTGTAAGCTGTGAGAGTGATTATGTATTCTGTAGCAGGCCGCAGCCCACTGATGCTGTAAGTCGCTTCGTCGGGACCAGCCTCAGCTCTTGACGTCTCTGTGCTTCCCACAACTTGGTAGTAGATGTAATAACCAAGCAGGTCTCCGTTGGTCTCAGTCGGGCTCTGCCATGTGACTACTACGGTATCAGGGGCTTGTCCGTCAGCAGTCACACTTAGGGGTGTTGAAGGGACTTTGAGAGGACAAAAGAAGAAGTCACTAAATGTACATGTCAGCTAATACAGGTACTACAAGATAAGTAGCCTAAAAGCATAGGTGGCCTGTCAGAACTTGTCACACATGAGTTATTAAAGAATTAGGTAGAACTAGAACTACATGTAGGTAGTTACAAAACATTCACTGTTTTAGATAGAGGAATTCAGTGCTTTAAGGAAAAGACAGCACTTTCAAGACGCAAGAGAATGCTGGCATTTGCTGCCTCTTAGATGAGATGGTCAGCAAAAGAGTGATAGAGCAATGTGTTTCTTCATCATTACAAAGATCTTGCCAAAGAAACTAAAGCTGATGGTGTAAATTGTCCAGATTAACCATAATTGGTACAACAATGCCTTTTGAAGAAGTGTAGATTAGAGTTTAAAAAGGATGTGTATGAATGCTGCAAGAAGGGAAACCTACCACCACTCAAAGTGCGAACCGGAATTTCCCGACTACGTTCGCTCTCCCCACCCTCTGTGTAAGCTGTGAGAGTGATTATGTATTCTGTAGCAGGCCGCAGCCCACTGATGCTGTAAGTGGTTTCATCAGGACCAGCCTCGGCTCGTAACGCATCTGTGCTTCCCACAACTTGGTAGTAGATGTAATAACCGAGCAGGTCTCCGTTGGTCTCAGTAGGGCTCTGCCATGTGACTGTAATTGTGTCAGGGGCTTGTCCTTCCGCAGTCACACTTAAGGGTGTTGAAGGGACTTCGATTTCGAAAGGACAAAAGAAGAAGTCACTAAATGTACATGTCAGCTAATACAGGTACGACAACAAAAGAGGTAGCCTAAAAGCATAGGTGGCCTGTCAGAAATTGTCCCACACGAGTTATTGAAGAATAAAAACTATACTGTTACAAAACATTGTTTTAGATAGAGGAAGTCAGAGCTTTAAGGAATAAACAGCATTTTCAAGAGGGAAGAGAGATTGCTTCTGAAACTAAAGCTCAATGATGTAAATTGCCCAGATTAACCATTGGTACAACGATGCCTTTTGAAGAAGTGTAGATTGTTTAAAGTTTAAAAAGGATGTGTATGAATGCTGCAAGAAGGGAAACCTACCACCACTCAAAGTGCGAACCAGCACTTCCCCACTACGTTCACTCTCCCCACCCTCTGTGTAAGCTGTGACAGTGATTATGTATTCTGTAGCAGGCTGCAGCCCACTGATGCTGTAAGTGTTTTCGTTGGGTCCAGCCTCGGCTCGTAACGCATCTGTGCTTCCCACAACTTGGTAGTAGATGTAATAACCAATCAGTTCTCCGTTGGTCTCAGTCGGGCTCTGCCATGTGACTACTACGGTATCAGGGGCTTGTCCTTCCGCAGTCACACTTAGGGGTGTTGAAGGGACTTCGAGAGGACAAAAGAAGAAGTCACTAAATGTACATGTCAGCTAATACAAGAGACAGTTCTAACAAGAAAAATTAAGTCCTGTCAACTACAGATCAAAACATCACTGCGAAGTTAGCCTGTCCAAAATTGTCACACATTCATGTTACCAAAACATTGAAGCAAGCAACAGTTATCAATATAATGAAAGAGTGTTAAAGAAGAGCACAGCATTTTCAAGACACCTTTGAGATGAGATGATTAGCAAAAGATTTATGATCCATGCATTTTCTCATAGTCATTAGAGCTGTCATAGACAGTAAAGCTGAAGATAGACCAGATGTCTGGCCGTGGGATGCTGTAAAAAGTACAATGTAGGCTGTCACAAGTTTTGCATGGGTAGGAATGCAATGTTCAGGAAGAAGTGTGACCTACCACCACTCAATGTGCTGACAAAGACTTCCTCACTACGTTCACTCTCCCCACCCTCTGTGTAAGCAGTGACAGTAAAAACGTATTCTGTGGCAGGCCGCAGCCCACTGATGCTGTAAGTCGTTTCGTCAGGACCAGTCTCAGCTCGTGATGTCTCTGTACTTCCCACGACTTGGTAGTAGATGTAATAACCGAGTAGGTTTCCATTGTTCTCTGTCGGGCTCTGCCATGTGACTAGTACGGTATCAGGACCTTGTCCGTCCGCAGTCACACTCAGAGGACGTGTCGGTGCTTCAGTGAGAAAGAAATAAGTCATGTCAGTGAGAAAGAAGGATGTCATGGTACATAAAGATTGGCACCTACATTTGAAGGGCAGCAGAAGTAGCTGGTAAGGATTGAATTAGTGTCAAGTCAATGTAAGGCTTGTACCTCTTCCATTGCAATATCTAGATTTGCGGTCACACGAAAGATGACAATGCTTGATGCCAGTGATTGGTGCCAATGAAATGCCAGATGATACAGGGTGTTTGTCAACATAAACAGTACTAGTGGCGTAACAATGACAGATACAAAGTCACATTTGTCAAGACATATATACGAGCAGTCTTAAAGTACGCACCACCGGCTGGTGTCCTGACAACCACAGGCTCACTCCTGTCTCCACCCCCGACCAACGTGAAAGCCGACAAGATAATGGTATATTCAGTAAACGGCTGCAGACCGTCCAGAATAACCATATGGTCATCGGGATCTACAGTCTTAGATAACACGTCATCTGAGTCACTTGGACCGTAGAAGACATTGTAGCCCATAATTTCTCCGTTGGCCTTCAGCGGTGGCCTCCAGTTTACACGAATGGTTCTTGCGTCATCAGCAGAGACTGCGACTCGGACAGGTTTGCTCGGTACTTGATGGGGAGAAAGGAAATTCTGCTACAGATCTCACTTTTAGCACAGCACACGGCACAGCACAACACAGCAGTACAGCAAGTTTAAAACTACAAGACAGCAAGGCTGCCATGCAGATATTGCCTGAAGCACAATCAGCGATCTAACTGAAGCACAATCAGCGATCTATCCAAGCCTACAGCTGAAGCAGTACAAAGCACAACAACACACAGCAGAATAAACGTCAAAGCACAGCCCAGCAGCAGGGTGCACAACAACTCCAAAAAGTACAAGACAGATGTAATGTAAACTTGATAAATGTTCAACACAAAATTGTCATGATATGTATATGTGGAAATTTGAAGAAAAAAAAGCTTTGCCCACACTCCTGGAAGAGAGGTGTTGACTGCTACAACTCTACAATGGAAGAGCCACTATCTACTTATGCCACATCACCCTATGCATCTAGACTGCTACTGGCTTTGGTACATAATCATACAAGTTGCATGTTTGCATTGTGCCACACCACCTTCAACCCACTACGAAGCACACTGAAAAAAAAAAGAAGCCATGCCAGGCCAAAGAGTTCTCTTCACAAGTACCCACCACCCTCCAGTGTCTGCACTTTCACTTGGTCGCTTCTGTCTCCCTCTCCACCACCGGTCACGCCAGCTATCTCTAAGCTGTACAGCGTGTAGGGCTGCAGGCCAGAGAGTACGTAGGGGCTGTCTACTCCTTCCTCTGGACCAACTTGAATCAGCTCTTCGTCATCACTTCCAGCCGCCTCATAGTACAGGTTGTATCCCTCGATCACTCCATTTGGATCTAACGGTATCTGCCAACTTACACTGACCGAGGTTGTGTCCAATGGAAAGGCGTTCAGCCCGAATGGGCTGCTAGGAACTTGAAATAGGAAAGAGCAAGGGACATTAGAGATGCACACTTTTGAAAGGTTTAATTGAGAAATATGCAATCTAGAGAGGACTGGAAATCAGACCACACAAAACCAAGGAAACTTTGAAATAATCATTGAGACAACTGACATAATATGAGCAAAGCACAGACAGTCATTTTAATCATTAGACTAAATCAAAATTAGTAATTAGGATGTCAGTATGATAGCTTCATGTGTTTGTTAAAATTAGTTTGAGAGAGGATGATTGATGGTATATTCCAACACACTGGGGCTCAATGACTCAAGGAAGAAGGAATCCAAGATTGTCTCACAAGAACTCCATACATAAGGTGATCAAGGCAAAGACAATTCAAACAAAAGCCTGGTACTTTAATATATAATACAGAAAAGGGAAAAGCAACACAAAGTAACCCAGAGATGGAGAAAGAAAGAAGCTATGTCCAACACCAGAGAAGGCACCAATTGTCTGACTTATACATACCACCCTCCTGCGTTCGAACTGTAACTGGTCGACTCTCTGGGCCATCTCCAGCACTGGTGAACGCAGATACCGTAACTACATACTCTGTAATGGGGTCCACGTTAGGGTTAGTGTGGTTCAGTTGGTTAGGGGCAGCTACAGCAGCTTGTAGCTCGTCATCAGCCGTGTGCTTGTAGAACACTTTGTACCCAAGCAAAACGCCGTTGGTCTGTCGGGGAGGGTGCCACTTCACCCTGATTGTTGTCGGGTTAGTCGCAGATGCAACAATGTCGCGGGGAGCATCTGGCACTGGGGAGGAAAATAAGTTAAAAAGTTAGATGGAGTTAACATTGATTACCTAAACCAACAATTAGTATGAGTTGACAAGCATCTTATGCAATATTAGAGTACAACATGTATTTAGAAGCACAGAATCTTTGAAGACTATCCAAAGAAACACAAGGTCTGAATGGAAAGACATTCCACTGAGAAAGATAATCAAATAGACCCAGTCTTCACCAGAGCAACCAGCAGCATCACCACAGAGGAGAGAAAGATTGCAAACAAGGTTGGGCTGACATTCTTTAACCTACCCCCTTCTGGAGTCTGCACGATAACCTGTGCAGTTCCTGTCCCCATCTCCAGGACCCGTAAAGGCAACTACCCAAATCAGGTACTCAGTTGCAGGCTGCAGTCCAGACAGCAGCCAAGATGAGTCGGTGGATGGGATCTCTAAAGCAGTGACATCTTCATCATCATACCCCTGATAGAAGAGCCTATACCCTAGCAGCTCTCCGTTGGTCTGTTGCGGTTGCTGCCAGTACACCTGGATGGTGCGAGCATCGACTGCTGTTGCCTGAAGGTCTGTTGGAGCTGCTGGAACTAGGATGGCAGAACAGGACCAATGTCCAGTGAACTTCAAGGCAAATTCTTTCGACGTACCGACATCAAACCAAACATAATGTATGTATGTAATATGTATGTATAGTATGTATAGCAAGAAGAGAAACACATCAAGAAAAGGCCTATGCTGCAGCACAAGTTACTGACACAGATTCAAACAGAATCTGACAAATAATAGCATTCTGTGAGTCCAGGAGTTCTATTTAGTCCTATGTAGAGTGAAAAACTTCAGAATCTGTCATGTACCAAAGAAATTTTGTCCTATGATATACAAATGTCACCCACCACTTTCTAGAGTCTGGACTGTAACTCCGTCACTTCTCTCTCCTTCCCCTGCCCCAGTTACGGCAGAGATCGTAACAAAATATTTGGTAAAGGGTTTCAGACCAGTGATGACATAGGAGTCTTCACTGGCTGGGACCTGACCCCTTTGCTCTCCATTTGAGCCTACAGTTAGGAAGTAGATATAGTAGCCCAGGAGAACTCCATTTCGATCTTGAGGTTCCTGCCATCTCACGAGGATTGATTGTTGAATCAAGTGGGGTCTCCTTCCACCCTATTGGACTACAGAACTTTTGTAGGAATAAAACAACAAGATACATGCATTGTTCAATCCATCATTAACATTTTGGATATTGTTACAGTACTAACTGCAATTACATGACATTGTACAGGGACAAACCACATAATGAAGCTGTTGTCAGTAAACTAAGCAAGTAAACACAAAGCCATAGAAGAGACAGAAACCCAATGCAGAACAGTAGGCACAACATAGGCAACAGTTGTGTACATATACATTAATGCTGCACATGTTTGGAAAAGCCCAAGGCTGCAGACAGTGAGAGAAGACAAGCAAGTGGTTGGCCAGCAGACGTAGTGCAAGTGAACTGAGGTGAAGAATCACGAAGGGCACCCTTGTGCAAGAAGAAGAGACCTTGATTCATTGCTGGATACCTTTGTCAAAACGTGACAACCACCACCAGCTGGTTAGATGATACAATAAATCTTAATCAATACTGATTGAGCTATCTGTGATGGTGCAGATGGGTGATCAGAGAATAAAGTGTCTCCATCAAAATGATTTACAGATCCAGACACAATGAAGGCAATGATGGTGAAGCAGCTTATTGCAACCAATCATGGTTGTAAAAATACAAGCAACTGCCATGGAAGGTGAAATACATATTTCCTCAAGTGAAAGTCATGTTTTGTGCTCTTTTTTCTCCTACAAGATACATACCACCTTCCTCAGTTCGTAGAGGAACTTCCTGACTACGGAGTCCATCTCCTTTAGATGTATAGGCCACCACTGAGACCAGATACTCAGTCATGGGCTCAATGTCGTCATTTGTATGAGACAATTCGGAAGCTGGCAGATCCACTACTGACACCTTGTCATCAACGGTGTTTACATAGTACACCATGTACCCAAGCAGGGGACCATTGCTTTCCTGCGGAGGCTGCCAAGTGACTATCGCAGATGTGGGGCCAGTGGCAGTTGCGACAACATCGCGAGGTTCGGTAGGAACTACAAAAAAATGTAAGAGTTCTAGAATGTAAATCTGAACTAAAAAGAGAAGGCTACCCAGACAGAAGATGAAGAATTCATGAGAATGCAGCATTTATCATTTGCACTAGATCAGTTGTCTGTTATTGGGCAGGATCACTGAGATACAATTGTAAGATGTCTGTAACCTACAACAGTAATTTGGGTTATGGGGAAACACACAGCTACTTCTACATGTGCCTACCTACTGATGACAGTAATGTTACCTGTATGGCATAGGGGATTGGTTAGTTTAGGCATAGGGATTGTTAGTGGGATTTTCCCACCAACTCCAAGCGTTACATGTTGAGCAGGTTACCTACCCCCTTGTGGTGTTTGAACAGTAACCTGCTCGGTTCTCTCTCCTTCTCCAGCTTCTGTGTATGCCACTAGCCAGATGAGGTACTGGCTGTATGGCCTCAGCTCTGTGAGCAAGTAGGAGGTCTCGGTTGGCTCTACGTCAGCTGTGGATGGACTGTCGTCATCCGCAAGCTGGTAGTAGATTTTGTATCCTAACAGCGTTCCTCCGGTTTCTGAGGGAGCCTGCCACTCGACTCTGATCGAGGTCGTGTCAAGTGCATTGGCCTCTATGCTACCTGGCACACCGGGAACTGGTATTCAGGAGTGAAAAGATCCGTGACGGATAGTTAGAAAAGAGACAAGAGAGATCATAACATGAAGTTGGACAGCATTAAGCAATCTTTTTCTACCAACATCTTTCCAGCAGCAGGATCACAATTCACTATGCAGTTCCAAAGCTATCAACAGCACAGTTCTTGTTATATTCCTTATTCACAAAGAGCAGGTAACCATCGAATGTGGTACATACCATCGGTGAGTGTCGTCACAACCTGCTCCTCTGTACGCTCACCCTGCCCTGCCTCAGTGAAGGCAGTAAGAGTAATGGCATACTGGGTGGAGGGCCGCAATCCCTCAATGACGTACGTTGTATCATCAGGACCAACAGTCTGTTGGTTGTTGCTGGCTTCTCCCTCAGTAGTGTAGTAGATGTTGTAGCCAAGAATGTTACCATTAGGTTCTGCTGGTGGCTGCCAGTTGATCCTGATAGACTGGGAATCAACTGCATTGGCCTCAACGTCCATCGGAGTCGATGGAGCTTTTGGAGAAAGAATAGATCGTGCCAAGGTGAAGGTGTGAAAGACTCAGAAAAGATACATGAAAGCCATGAATACGTAAGCACTGAAATTGGCACGAAATACAATGGATGACAATCGTTCACCCATGTTCAGAGTGTCCTGGATAGACACAGCACAGTTTGTCATTAAGTTGACAAAGACGCCAAGTTACAATAGGTAAATGTCAGAAAGATAGGAGTTCCACAGTAATATCAAAGCAACAAAATCTAACCACAACATCTCTAGAGACAATACAGGCCAACATCAGAATAATACCCACCACCAGCCGGTGTGGAAACTGTCACAGAGTCACTCGTCTGGCCCTCACCAACACCAGTGAGAGCAGAGACCCTTATGGTGTACTCAGTGAAAGGCCTGAGTCCAGTGAGCATCAGGAAAATGTCCTGTGCTCCTGCCTGCTGCAAGACATCTGCTTCAGATTCAGTTGTCCTGTAGTAGATGTTGTATCCCTGGATTTCTCCATGGGGCTGCTGAGGAGGCTGCCATTCAACACGAATAGTCTGGGGGTCAACAGGAGTGGCACCCAGCCCAGTGGGTGATTCCGGAACTTTATGAAAAAAAAGGAATGATGGAATTTTTCAATTGGAAGCAGGTGGAATGCTGAAATCGAAGTGATAGAAAGCGTAGATGATGAGATTGTCGGATCTAGACAAAAAGCAATGCCCTGCAGTCAAAGCCGACAAGACAAGTACACAAGAACAGGACAAAGAAGTCACTGGGTGTGACAAAGCTCCAAAACACAACACTGGGAGGCAGTCCAGTTTCAGGAAGGTCTAGGGAATAGAGTCTGGAAGGATGCACGGAGAATTGGAAGACAAAAACTCCAGGGGGGAGACACAAAATGTGAGGAGACAGACGTAATCTGTCAAGAAGAGGAAGGAAGGTCTCAAAGAAGCAACAAGCAAGCCCAGATTTACGTGTAGCATGAACAGGCAATGGAACAAACGACATATACATATAAGAACAGCCAAGCCATTACGGCCTATGACAATGCTCTATCAGCATATCAGTTCACGAGGAATGTGCGTTACCCACCGCCCTGTAAAGTCTGGACTCTCGTTTCGGCACTCCTGTCACCTTCTCCAGCTCTTGTGAAACCGCTCACTGTTATGATATACACAGTGTAGGGCTGGAGGCCACTGGCCACATAGGATGTGTCAGTCGGCCCCACTTGTGCCCTCTGCTCCTCGTCGGACCCCTCGGGAGTGTAGTAGATGTAGTAGCCTTGGAGCTCTCCATTTGTCTCAGCTGGTGCCTGCCAACTGACTCGGATGGACCTAGCGTCAATTCCCTCAGCCGTGACGGAGGTCGGGACTTCAGGGACTTAAAAAAGAAAGAAGGGGTGGGGGAGAGGAGAGTGTGCTCCCAGTTAGATACAAAATCATTTGCCAAATAGGAAACATTCAAACAGGTGCAATAATGGACATGAACCATACATTGAAACAACTCAAGAGATTATAGCAATACAACATCATCTCACAGGATTGGCACTAGACAAGTCTAGGAATGACCATTACAATCCATGTATTCATGCCCAGAAAGCAACAGTATGAAAAACTGTCACTAATGGGAATGGGAAAGAGAATGAGGAGGGCTGGTACAAGTGTACAGTGCAAAGATAAGGACATAAAAAGCCCCTGCGAAAGTGCAGGTCAGATAGAAACTATTTGTCCATAAAGGAGAGATAAGCAGTACACGTTATCAGGTATCACGAGAAAGGAGAGCAGATACCACAAGAAGGAATGGGAAGGATGAGGAAGAGAGGGAGTCAGCGGATACTCAGAAATATCGCTGTCAATTCATGATTGGTGTACATACCACCTTCCGCCGTTTGAATTGCGATTTCTTCACTGGCAGGGCCATCACCAGCACCGGTGAAGGCCAACACGGCAACCACGTACTCAGTCCCGGGAATCATGTCAGAAATAACATAGGACATTTCTGTGGGCTCAACCTCTCGGGTTGTGTACTCTGCTGCGTTAGCGTCCTTGTAAAGGACCTTGTAACCTTGCAGGATTCCGTTTGGCTCGGCAGGTGGCTGCCAGACTACCCTGCTCGAGGTTGAATCGATAGGTTCCACCAAAACGTCCTGTGGGGGGCCGGGTACTGGCAGGAGAAAATATAGGAGACATTAGGGCAGTGTTGTCATGGTGTCATTTAGCATGGACATGTGCAGGTGGCAAGAGCCAACGATTCTCATACATGTAGGTAAGCAGCTGGGTTTCCACTTCAGAAGTTTAATCGAGGCCACAGGAAAAGGGGTACAGGAGAGAAGGGAGAAGGCTTTTTCTTGGGTCCATATGGTTCACAGAAAAGTATGAAGTAGCTTCCATTGTGAGAAATAGCCTGCCAATGTCACCTACCATCCTCATCTGTCTGTACCGTGACTTCTGGGCTGGTTTCACCCTCTCCACCTTCAGTGAAGGCTACCAGGGCAAGGAGGTACACTGTAAATGGCTGAAGTTCAGTCAGGAGGTGGTATTGTGCCGCTGGGGCAACTTCGGCAATGGAAACGTCCTCAGTACCAGCCTGGCGGTACAGGATTTTGTACCCCTGCAGTACTCCGTTTGTGTTTGCTGGGGGCTCCCACGAAACTTGAATGCTCGTGGCGTCCACTGCTTCGGCTTCAAAGTCACTTGGTGCGTCTGGAACTTTTGAAAAAGCAGATATACCCATGTAAGAACACTGAGTCAAAGGTGAACCCCCTCCCACAAGTGTGCACGTGCAATGGAGATGTAACCAGTGCCTTGCTGCTTTCCCTGTCCAACTTTACATGTCAGTAAATTGATGCTGTTAGAGATATATATTTGCAGGTTAGCATGGAGACATAACGAATTAGTGTCAAATAGCTAGTGTCAACTGGTTTAACTACTGACAAGGTTCAACAATTTTCTCACAACATTTGGCACAAATATTGATGTCTCCATCATGTGACATCAACTGTTGTGGCCAACGGACACAGATGAGAGTGACAGAATAGACAAGAGAATGTTAGGATGTTAAAACGTAAATCATTAAAAAAAAACAAAGGAAGCCCTCTGTCAGTAGATGTACCTACCACCTGCTCTTGTCTGTGCTGTCACTTTGTCACTTCGTTCCCCCTCTCCTGCCGAAGTGATCGCAGCCACACTGATGACATACTCAGTGGCTGGCTGCAATCCCCCGAGCAGGGAGAAGAGCTCATAGGGGCTAACTGTCTGTTTGCTAGGCTCTTGGTTAGCGGTTGTCGAAGCGGGCTGGTAATACACGTTGTAAGCGGTGATGATGCCACGGTTCACTTCGGGCTCCTGCCATGCTACTTGGATTGACTGGGCATCCAGGGCGTTTGCCATGACACCAACGGGACGAGCAGGCGCTTGAATTTACGAGAAAAAGCCAATCATTGACCATGGAATTGACACATGCAGTTCATGCTCATAACTTGAAAGAAATGACAAAACGTCTTTGGCAAAAAGTGAAGCCTTAGGTGCAAGGTCCTCTCTACAGTGCACGTGACAAGTGTGGTGGAAAGGGGAGCTATGTCAGTTCCTACTGTCATTACACAAATATTTATTATATTAACAAGAAAAATAAGTAACAAAGTGTTACAGATTTTATGCCTATAGTATTCAGGTTCAGGTATTGTTATCTGGTAAATAAAAGTCCTGAGAAAGGGTCCATAACAGACTGGAAGAGTAAGAGCATGTATGACATTACACAGTATTGTGAAGCCATATCAGTTCATCTCCATTTAGATTTGTGGATGAAGTTTTCATGACAAAGTGTGCAGTGATACAGAAGGTGCAGATACTTAATTACACTCATTCGTGCGATCAGCTGAGTCACCCAAAACCTGCCAACAATGAAGTGTTGCTTTAGAAGTGATTCAAAGAGGAGACTTAGGTGCAGTGTGGGTGAAAGAAAGAAGGAGAGAGAGTGCTTGACCATCCTGTTGGTAACAGACCAACTGGGATCAGTGAGTGGAGAGAGAACTGCGGGTAACTACATACCACCCTCAAATGTCCTGACCGAGATACTGTCGCTGCTATCCCCCTCTCCCTGTGAGGTGCGACCGACAACATAGATGGTGTACACGGTGTAGGGAGTAAGCCCCGTCAGAAGGTGACTTCTGTCCGACCCGGGGACCAAGGCTTCGGCGGGTACGCCCCCCTCAGGCTGGTAAGTAATCTTGTATCCGGTGATAACACCCATGGTTGTCTCTGGTGCTTCCCATCTCACAGTTATGCTCTGGGAGTCCACCGCTTCTCCCGTAAGACCAACAGGGGCACCGGGTACTTAAGAGAAGGTAACGGAAAATGTTAGTTAATTTGATAACAACGCATTAAGGCTTAATTAAATAGTGTTCCCATTTAGTATCTTCTGCGACCAGCCTGTTAGTAAAACTTACCTGCTTGTGGAAAATGATTCCACTGCTTACCTGTCATTCTTGGGGTTGGCAACATCTCAGCTGTCATTGAGAATTACTGTGTTTATAAAGAATACTTTAAAAACAAAGAAAATTACTGTACATGTAAGTACAAGGGCTAAGACGTGGACGGGTGAAATGTGTTTTGACACGAGGGCAGTCTCTCGTAAGCTCCATACGTAGTCTGTTGTTGAGTTATAACTGTTATGTACTTCGTGCATCGGAAGATGGTGTACATGCTCAAAGACATGGTGTGTTTATCTTAGTGTCCATTTCCGTGTCAAGGAGTACAATCTTGTCATTTTATGGCATTCCAAGGTGGCATTCCTTGGTGACCAGTCATTGTCTTAAACTTAAAGGGTTGCACATACTGTACAACTTGCAAAGCTTTGTCGTGTTTGAGTTGCGTGAAGCAATAATATTATACTGTGATGTGTGGGATTTTGACGTGTACATTGTACATTTACAGGACGTGATTCTCGGTCATTAGATTAGAACAAAAAAAGCAAATTGATATGTTGGAATGGTTTAAACGTTTACACTGTGGCGCAGTGTTGTGTAAAGTGGGCAGTCTACGAGGTCTACGATGATGCACAAGATGCCGGATGAAGCTGATCCAGTGAGCACGATGGTTGGTACGGAGGTGTTTCTTCTCACTCCAACGCAAGACTTCTTACCACCAGAGCCGGGAGCTTGTGTCTGTAGAGTCACCCTCTCGCTCCTTGGACCGTCACCTCGGTTTCCGTACGGCGTCACCCAGAAGTCGTACTGGCTGCCGGGCGAGAGACCTCTCAGCATGAAGCTGAAGTCGTCGGGATGTCCCATGTCGACAAGCTGCTGATTGTCATCGCCGTATCTCTGGTACAGTAATCGGTAGCCCATGACGGGTTCAGGTGGGTTTGTGGGAGGGCGCCATTGTATACGGACGCTGTAAGGGCTAACTGGCTCTCCCGCCACTCCCAGGGGAGCACCAGTGTCGTCTGTGCATTGCGAAGTTGAGCAGATTGGAGCCATACATAAGCAATGGTTCATGATGCAAAAATTATAAAATGAAATAACATGATATCTTACACAGGAATAGCCTAGTATTGGGATAACATCACTAGTTATCAAATTCCATGTGAAACCTTAACAAACTGATAAGTTTCCATATCTAGTAGTAACGGAGGGCTGGAGATTAGTCGGGGTAGGAGAGATTGCACATTTTAGTTTGAACAGTTTGTAATTCAGGTTGGGGAAGCACTGTTTGGTGATTTAGTTGGGGACAGCATCAGTTGGTTACACTGAAGCACTGCGCAGTGCAAGCCATCAGTGGAGTAAAAGATTATTAGTTGCCCTTTAGATCAAATCTGCAGGCAATAAAATGTCATTCATGACTTCATCCATGTCACTTTTATGACTTTATGAAGTTTTTGCGCTTGATGCGCAACTGAAAAGTTTGATGCCTGTGCATTAGAGACAGAAGTCATGGATAACATAACAGGTTGCACTGTCATAAGGGATGGGTATTGGGCTCTTGTTTAGCTTTAGGTCCACATCAACTGTGTCACGATGTTTATGTGTGTGTTCTTGTGTGGTGCGGTGTGACAATGGTGTTCATGTTGTCTCGACTATTCACATATGGGTTAAACCATACATACATTGATGTACATGTACACAATCATACACACACTTCTAGAGTACAATCAGCCTATAGTATAGTTCTTACCTCCTTCAGCGGTCATAGCAGTAAAGGTGTCACTGTTGGGTCCGTCTCCGTTAGCGTTGAAGGCGACAACGTACATCTCGTACTCCGTGAAGGTGTCCAGGTCCATCAGGATGTAGGACAGCTCCCCTGGCCCAACCTCCACAGTCTGGTACTCTCCCTCTCCAACCCGCCTCCAGAATAGCCTGTATCCCAGCAGGTCTGGAGAACCCTCGGGTAGGGTAGGAGCCTCCCACTCCACCAGGAGGCTAGAGGCGTCCCTGGTGACAGCTGAGGCTGCTCCTGGTGCCCCCTTAGGTGCAATGCTGCCCAGGTCCTCTGTGGAAAACATAGGGAAATGTTACTTTCAAACTTTCTGGCCTGTATTTCAGTTCTCAAATCCACAATAACTACATGATTGCACCATACATGTATGTCTTGACTTTTTGTGATGGTACTTTGATTGGTAAAATGCAGCTATACAATTTGTAGATTTACATGACAGTGTAGATCTTGAGACACTTGCTGTTGAAGGATAAAACAATAATATGAAACTGGGGATCATTTGAAACATATGGTTGCAGTGTGAATGGTACAAGTACAAATTAATGTAGGAAAAGCTGTGAATGAAGTTTGTACTTGTGTGCCCATATGATGAACAAATGGTGGATCACAACAAGAGTCATCATGGTATTTAAAGCATTAGTTCTCTGTCCACAACCTGTCACTGTGATAAATGAGTAGCAATGATGTAATATCTGTTCCTTGCAGTCCCCGTAGCCTCACTTCAGCCGATATGGCAGGAAAAGTGTGAGCAAATAAATGTCTGTCATTCGTAGAGATGTAAACAACTTTTAATGTTCCAATAATATGGTACATGTACATTGCACATTATCTAACAACACACATACAATCATGTAAAATGAAAATGAATGCACAGCATGTCAGCAAAACAAATATATCTGCAAGGTGCTTTGTAAGCTGCTGCAAAGCAATGTTGTGCTTTTAGTGCCAATCTGTCCACCTGCAAGATCTGTGTGCATTCCATGGAATGAATGGGTTGGCCATCCACTACCTTGTAGGTTCTGTGACCATGAAATGTTCTGTCCGTCTGCATAGTACCGTCCACGGTGCCAGGTCTGCACGTTCTCACAACACAATGACCACCCTGAGGGAATTTCTTACCACGTTGCGTTTTTACGGTAAACTGTCGACTCTGAGGTCCGTCGCCTCTAGGGCCGTACGGCATCACCCACATGTTGTACTGTGTGTCTGGAGACACTCCAGCGAGATTGTAGGTTCGGTCGGGCGGGTTACCCATGTCAACAGTTTCACGGGTAGAGTCTCCTTCCTTCTCATATAGCAACCTGTATCCAGCAATGTCGTCCATTGGGTAGGTGGGGGGTTGCCACTCCACTTGAATGGTGTAAGGATCCACAGGATTCCCAGTGACTCCCACTGGGGCACCAGGTTCACCCATATCTGTTGATCCTTCAAAAGTATAGTGTTTTATCAGCATGATTATTTGACAAGCTGCTTTTGCACCCTGCAACAATCAGCGACACAATGATGTGGCTGTAATTACATGTACAAATGAAGATTGTACAAATGTAAATGTGCAATGCTGTCAGATTTACATTTAGTATAATCATCATATCAGATACATGTATAAGAGGACATCTTAATATATGTAATGTTTATCAATGAAATCAAAGGAAAAATGCATAAATCAGAATGCACAATGGTATATAAAACACATTGATACATGTTTCCAGCCTGCTACTATTAGATGGACATAAAACTGCATAGTTTACACACAGACACATGTACATGTACACCAAATCAAAATGAATGGTGCAGATTTAGATGCTGCAAACTCAGGAGAATAAAAAAAGTAAGTACATGTAGCTCAGTACTTTTCACAGTAATGTACAAACATTTATCTGTCCCTTTCCTTGTCAGTTGTCAGGAAACTGAAATGCAAGGACCATAAATACAAGTGTATAGCATCAACGCTGCAAAGCCACTGTGCACGTGATACAAGTCTATAAGTACAACATGTACTTCACAGCTGTAACTAGAAATAAAATGCTAAGCAACTCAAAGTGATGCTGATGGATACAACATGGAGGCTCAGTAAAAACTGAAGGTGCTGGTGGCTTGAAGTGCCTAACATAGGTGATGCAGTGCAAACTGCCCGCTTGTGACTGCCGTGTGGCAGTGCTCTTCTCAAAACTGCAGTGTTTTCTGGACAGTGAGGTGGCTTTGTTCTGCCGGTGATAACTCAGGCTTGTCTGTGAGCCACATCTGTCAACTGTTCTCCTTTGTCGTCAGTCTTCAACACAACGGACACGACAAATGCAAACAGCTGCCGAGATGCTCACCGTGCGGTGCAACACGTACAAAGATTTTTCTTACCACTAGGGTCACCTTGTGTTTGAACAGTGAAAGGCTGACTCTGAGGTCCGTCACCTCTAGGACCATACGGTGTCACCCACATGTTGTACTGTGTGTCTGGAGACACTCCTCGTAAGATATATGTAGAGTCAGGTGGGTTGCCCATGTTCACAGTTTCTGGGGAACTGTCTCCAGGCTTCTGATATTGCAACTTGTACCCGTAGATGTCGTCAGTTGGGTTGGAGGGTGGTCGCCATTCGACACGGACATTGTAAGGGTTCAGGGGAAGCCCGCGCACTCCTCGTGGGGCACCAGGGTCGACCACCGCTGGTATTCAAAAGTACAGCATTATAATTTACATCAACACAATTATGAGACGAGGATTTCACTGAGAAAAACAGATCTAGAGTACTGGTAATAGAACAGCATGACTGTTTGACACAGTGACTGTAAATTGCAGACATCTCAAACTGCAAGATACTTGAGATGATCTAAACCATGGATACCATGCATCTTCAATGTTGTACTAAGCACAGTATACGTCTAAAAAAGCAGATATACAAATTCATCAAATTAATGTAAATATTTCTAAGTATGACACAAAGATGAGTGAATGTCAATGACATGTTCGCAGGAAAAGATTTAACCATGGACGTAGTACTGCAAAGTCATTGCAAGGAATTGTAAAGTACAAGCTTAGCATGGTGAAAGGTCAGATGAGAGAAATTTTGAAGTTTCTATAATGCACATAAAATGTATCTTGTCAGATGGGCTGGTGGGAACTGTCTGAAGAAGTCAATCACAGCTTGATTGTGATATAATCCACTCTCGACAAGTAGGCAGTGCCATATATGCAACATGATGCTTGTGTTGATGGTATCATGTATTTTGTACCTTTGTTCAAATGTCAAAGCTGAGGACAGTGTACATACTGTATTGAACAGTAAGTTCTATATTCTGTACTGATCTGTCTGTCCATGATCATGAATGCACATGGCTGTGATGATGATGTGGGCCTTCCCCATGGCACAGGTATGTGTATAAGGACTCTGTATCCTTACCACTGGTTGAATCGTCAGTGTCTCCAACTCTTTGGGTTTGAACAGTGAATGGCTCACTCTCAGGTCCATCTCCTCTAGGCCCGTACGGTGTCACCAGCATGGTGTATTCTGAGTCAGGGGACACTCCGCGTAGGGTGTATGTAAAATCGGGTGGGTTGCCCATGTCAACAGTGTGTAGTGTATTGTCTCCTGGCCTGAGATAGTGTAACTTGTATCCATGAATGTCATCGGTTGGGTTAGTTGGAGGACGCCACTGCAAGCGAATGTTGTAGGGATCCACGGGATGCCCACCTACTCCAAGTGGAGCACCAGGTTGTCCTTTAAAGTAGATCATCATTGCCATTAGGGAAAATTTCTGTGAGGCATATTCTGCTCAACTGCAGACTGAGGAGAAATGCTTAATACACATTTAAGAAATGTCAACTGACCATAAGCAAATTCTATGATGAATATTGGTCTGTATTGAGAAACAAGGAAGACTAACTGTTGTGCTGTCATGACAAGTGTGCTGGTATATATATGGAGATGCAATTTCCATTGTAGCTGCAGCAACTTGGTGCAAACTACATGTGCGGTTGGAGTGTGTAGGGTGTGCGAGGTAAAGGGAAATACATGACATTGTATGAGATGGTGTCTCCAGTTCATGCTGATGAGTACAGTCTGTTCCAATATGACGTCTGCCTGTCAAATGAAGATGACTTGTACTGATGATGACTGTATTGGAGACTATGTGATCACACTGTCCAGTGATGTCAGTGACAAGATGAGATTCCATTGTCCAGTGATGATGCCAGTGACAAAATGAGACCTCACTGTCCAGAGCCTAATGAAGCTGTTCCTTACCACCTGGTCTCCCATCAGTGCCTGTTCCTGGGCCGGTCCCTGGACCTTCTACAGGCTGAGTTTGTACTGTAAGATGTTGACTCTGAGGTCCGTCACCTCTAGGACCATACGGTGTCACCCACATGTTGTACTGTGTGTCTGGAGACACTCCGCTCAAGATATATGTACGATCAGGTGGGTTACCCATGTTCACAGTTTGTGGGGAACTGTCTCCTGGCTTCGCATATTGCAATTTGTACCCATAGATGTCGTCAGTTGGGTTAGTTGGAGGTTGCCACTCCACACGAATGTTGTAAGGATCTACAGGTTGTCCAGTAAGTCCCACTGGAGCACCAGGGTTGACAACGTCTTGTCCTTTAAATTAGACAGTTTTATAAGTATGAGTATAAAACAAACGGCATGTAACAATACCATATTCAAACGCCATGAGACTATACCAGATCCCTGTTGTGTGCTAGCAAATGTGACCTTTTGCCAACTACTACCTCAAGCCTGAATCAAATGGTTGTGCAAGCTCTCCTTAATGGGTAGTAAATAGAGCAAGGTGCCAAGCAGATTCCAATATACAACAACAGCTGCATGTGTCCAACACCAGAATAAGGCAGCTGCAGTCAGTGAAAAGCTTATTCAGCATATGAAGTGTGGATATCTCCCAAACAATATATGACGATGGCACCACTACTGGTAGCACCATCATTGTCTAGTCTGTGCATGTGCACAACTGCCCATAAGCATAAATGAATGATGTGATCCAGATAGAGATGAAGACTATTATGATCTGCAAATGTGATCCCACTACCCAGTGATGTCAGTGCCAAAATGAGATCCCACTACTGTCCAGTGCAGTGACAGTCCAATGAAGCTGTTCCTTACCACCTGGTCTCCCATCAGTGCCTGTTCCTGGGCCAGTTCCTGGACCTTCTACAGGCTGAGTTTGTACTGTAAGATGTTGACTCTGAGGTCCGTCACCTCTAGGACCATACGGTGTCACCCACATGTTGTACTGTGTGTCTGGAGACACTCCTCGCAAGATGTATGTACGATCAGGTGGGTTGCCCATGTTCACAGTTTGTGGGGAACTGTCTCCTGGCTTCTGATATTGTAACTTGTAACCAGCTATTGTGTCAGTTGGGTTAGTTGGAGGTTGCCACTCCACACGAATGTTGTAAGGATCTACAGGTTGTCCAGTAAGTCCCACTGGAGCACCAGGGTTGATAACTTCTTGTCCTTTAATGTAGATGGTTTAAATATTATCCATCACTATCAAAAAAGATTCCTATTAAACAGATTCTACTCAATAGCAGATTCATAAGAAGTACTTTTCATCATAGAACTTTCATGCCAAATGTACAAGATGTACATGATGTTTAACATCATTAAAATAAATAACCATTATATCAATATGCAAGGTATGCACTTTCACGTATCTATTGTGAGAACCAAGGAAACAAACTGCTGTGACTAGCATATAAAATGCAAAAGACTATAGTAAGCAACTCTTGAAGCAGCAGCCAATGCCCCATTGTGCAGGAGGTTGAAGTGGTACAAATGTATGTGTAAATAGAGAGTTGTGGGATGTCTCTGCAATTCTGTAAAGCAAGGCAAGATGTCCTGTCTGTGTATATATAAGCATTGTCTGTTCCATATTGATGCCTGTCTGTCCATGACTGAACATGATGACTACATCTATATGATTGTGACCCCAATGTTTAGTGATGTCAGTGCAAAATATGATCCCGCTGTCCAGTGATGATGTCAGTGCCAAAATGTGATCCCGCTGTCCAGTGATGATGTCAGTGCCAAAATGTGATCCCGCTGTCCAGTGCCAATGAAGCTGTTCCTTACCACCTGGTCTTCCATCAGTGCCTGTTCCTGGGCCAGTCCCTGGACCTTCTACAGGCTGAGTTTGTACTGTAAGATGTTGACTCTGAGGTCCGTCACCTCTAGGACCATACGGTGTCACCCACATGTTGTACTGTGTGTCTGGAGACACTCCTCGTAAGACGTATGTACGATCAGGTGGGTTGCCCATGTTCACAGTTTGTGGGTATCTGTCTCCTGGCTTCTGATACTGTAGTTTGTACCCTTGGATGTCATCCGTAGGGTTAGTTGGAGGTTGCCACTCCACACGAATGTTGTAAGGATCTACAGGTTGTCCACTAACTCCAATTGGAGCACCAGGGTTGACAACATCTTGTCCTTAAATGTAGATGAATGTATTAATTGTCATAACAAAGATACTAGTTAGGTAGATTCTATTCAACAGCAGATTGAAAATAACTGCTCCAAGATCTGACAGGACTTGTGTACAAACATTTGAAAAATGTCAACTACTGGTAAATGCAAATCCCAGACCAGTACAATTAGTTGTAAATGCAAATCCCAGACCAGTATATACTGTATATGCACAATCATATGAACTACTAAAGAAAAAGTTCTTGTGATATGAAAATACATCAGACTAACTGAAGCAACATTCAAAGAAGCTGCTGCAACATACATGTGTATATATAAGTGCTGAAGATCAAAGTGTGCTTGTCAGCAAATGCTGTCTCCTCCTGTCTGTGCATACTCCTGTTGGTGCATGTGTTCCAAAGTGATGTCTGATTGTCCAAATGCTGTGATTGTGAATGAACCTGTGACATCATTGACGACTATGTCTACATGATTATGAACCCACTGTCCAGTGATGTCAGTGCCAAAATGAGATCCCATTGTGTCATGTCATGTCAGTGACCCAATTGTCCAGTGCCAATGAAGCTGTTCCTTACCACCTGGTCTCCCCTCAGTGCCTGTCCCTGGACCTTCTACAGGCTGAGTTTGTACTGTAAGATGTTGACTCTGAGGTCCGTCACCTCTAGGACCATACGGTGTCACCCACATGTTGTACTGTGTGTCTGGAGACACTCCTCGTAAGACGTATGTACGATCAGGTGGGTTGCCCATGTTCACAGTTTGTGGGGAACTGTCTCCTGGCTTCTGATATTGCAACTTGTACCCATAGATGTCGTCAGTAGGGTTAGTTGGAGGTTGCCACTGCAGACGGATGTTGTAAGGATCTACAGGTTGTCCACTAACTCCAATTGGAGCTCCAGGGTTGACAACATCTTGTCCTTAAAATGCAGATGATTGTATCATTTGTCATGACAAAGATACTTGTTAGGTAGATTCTGTTCAACAGCAGACTGAAAAGAACTACTTCTCCACCAAAGAACTGATGGGACTTGTGTACAAGCCTTTGAGAAATGTCAGCTAAATGCAAATTCCATACCAGTATAAGTTGTTTGTGCACAAACATATTTTGTACTAAAGAAAGCAAACTCTTGTGAGACACAAGACTACAAAAAAAAACATATAACTAAAGCAACATTCAAAGAAGCTGCTAGAAGAGCAAAGAGTGCTTGTCAGCAAATGTTGTCTCCTGCTGTCTGTGCAAGTGTTCAAATGTGATGAGTGGCTGTCCAAATGCTGTGAAAGAACCTATCATATTATTGACTTACTGTCTTACCATATGGACTAAGTCTACATGGATGGTTATGATCTCACTATCCAGTGATGTCAGTGCCAAAATGAGATACCTCTGTCCAGTGATGTCAGTGCCAAAATGTAATCTCACTGTCCAGTGCCAATGAAGCTGTTCCTTACCACCTGGTCTCCCATCAGTGCCTGTTCCTGGGCCGGTCTCTGGACCTTCTACAG